CGGTCCCTACAGTCCGAAACATCGGCAATATACCGAAAATATCTACAGCAGTTGGATGTGAAAATCGAAGGACTTATTTGTTCATGCTGTGTTAACAAAATTAACCGATTGAACAAAATCGACAATGACATCTTGACGAAAATGGATGATATTTTGCAGGCTGCAAGACGACGAGCTGATAAAAGAACTGTACGAGTCACACTCATAAGGAAACATATCCTCCGATGACAGAAGAAACAGAAAAATGAAAACGCCTGCAAATATAATGTTCAGTCATGAAGTCAAATCACGAAGTCGATTGATGGTTGTTGTCAGCTCTTGACCAAAAGGCTGTAAACACACGTTTGGTAAGGCTTAGGCTAAGAGACGGAAAGCGATTTTGGAATCACCAGTTCCAGCAAGCAACAGACAAAGTACATGTACCTACATAGCTATCTTGCATAGCTGGTCATGAGAGATGTAACCTGAGGGGCAGGTGCAGATTGTAACAGCTGAGGCAGTTGTAGACAATAACAGCTGAGACCAGTGTAGACAGTAACAGCTGAGGCAGTTGTAAACAATATTTGCTGGCTGAGGCAGGTGCAAACAGTAAAAACTGAGGTCGGTGTAGACCGTAACAGCTACAGTGTGCAAATATATCAGGCCCATTACTACAGGACTATAAGCATGCACTTTGTAATGATTTAGTATCACATATCTATGATGTGAGCTTACAGTACAAGACTCCTACTATGTCAATGGCGATCAGGTTTATATGCTGGCAAATGACCCAACTTCATCTAGGGGCCTATACAGGGTTATAAGTGTATCTGTTACATGGTTCTGTGAAGTGCTTTGAAGTTAGAGGGGTCCATTGCCAATCTGCAAAATGTCTTAATTCAAAGGCACTCCTAAATTCTCAAACTCTCCACATTAGGATTATGACCTGTAATCATTAGGTGTATATTTTGAACACTGCTATGTAATTGGATTGATGTACATCATAACATTTGGCTTACCATTCAGACTTCAAGTTGTTCGAATGGTTTGATGTTTTGTTAGGACTGTTAGGTCCTGAATATATTTGGTTAAAGTGGAGTCCCATTTAATTAAGTGAAAACGCACCGATGAATTTCACTTTGGTATGTATTATTGGTATCATGTATTACAAGGGGTATGCACATTAAATGAAACCCGAGAACAAGAAGGGTTGGTTTCTACGGTAGTCTTAGTTAACGCTCATCACGGACCGCACGTGTGCATTTTTATTTCACTATTCCAACTACTGCGCGTACCCCCTTGTAAAACAAACCAATAATAGCTATTTGAAACTATGATCGTTTGTTAATCAGCTCTTAATTTCACTTTATGTGATTTACTTTTTTGTTTAAAGTGAAATTCTTCGGTACATTTTCACTGCAAACAGACTATAGTTCATTTGAGAATTCTTGTATGTACCATCAGAAAACACTGTTTTCCACTTTAATTTTATGCTTAACAACGTGTTGAAGATTATATTTTGAACTTGTAAAATTAAAACGATGCATCATATCCTGCTAGGATACTCATTTGTGGCCCAGCATTGCATAGTGTGTAATATTCACTCTTATGACACTTACATTTACAATAAAAGGTGTAACCGTCTTAAAATGTCTAATTCTTTTTAGCATCATAGGGCATTATGTACTATCCAAATGATTATTTCATGTATGTTTATCTAGTCATTTATTTATGATATTTTCAAGTACATGTAATACTGTAAATCAATCATAACAACTGTTAGACATTTCACCTTTTATTTGTGATGTAACTGCATAAGGGTGCTTAATTGTACATGATGTATATGCTTGACAGTCTCTTTGTCGAGCAATAGCGTAAGGAATAAAAGATGGCTTGTTGTACATTGATATTAAATCTAGGTACATTGAGGTATGTAACTGGCTATTAAGATAGATTTGTAATTGTTATATAAACATCAAACGATTATCAATGAATAGCAGAGAAAGAACTTTGAGCAGAAGTGCCAAAAATGTGCAAAGGAAATCAACTTTATTCACATCACTGGTGAGTGGTGACACATTCATGCACAAAAACAGCATCCTGAACATAATATAGAAGAAACACAAGTTTGTTGTTCATTTAAACGTCAACATTGGGGTTATGAAAGGGACCTCTTGATTTTCATTCTTAATTTCTAACACTGATTTTTATCGAGTATATGCAGATTAAATGTTATTTCCTTACTATTTATTATTTTATTTCCTTCTCACTATCCAAAACCACTGTGATCAATGTGATTAAAAAGTAGGTTCACCATGAAAAACATTTTTTTTATTTGAAAGTACAAGCGGACATGAGCATGTGTCCACATGCGCGGTGGGTGAGCTGGGGGTGCAGTGGGCGAGCTGTCTAAGGCGCCAGGCGAGTGATTCACCGAGCTGGAGGTGTCGGGATTCAGCCCACCTGTGACTGGGTGTAAAAACCTTGGAGTCAACATTGTGTGCCGACTCTTTCAGTGTCCCCCGCCGTGATGTTGCTGGAGTATTGCTAAAAGCGGCGTAAAACCAAACTCAGTCAGTCTTTCAGTGTTGTCACAACCCCTAGTGTACAGTACACAACCCTGTGCACTTAAAAGAACCCACAAATCCGTTGGTACATGACCAGATGTGGCCACATGAATATGTGCAAACACCTTGTGCCGGTACAGCAACGTTCAGTGAATTTGTACAAAGTACTGTGACTATGTGTCCCTCGTTGATGAAAAAGCCACAATAACTTGGTGCGCCTAGTGGCTGCAAGAGTTGTATACTCCCCAGGGAGTTGAGATTGATAATATGATGTGCCATTGAGATTGACATCCAATGATCGAGGGGAGGAAAAAATACCAGCGCCTTGAGCATGCACTAGTTGTGTGGATATGTAGACTATATAAATATCCTATAATAAAAGTGGGAGAGTAAGGTCATATGGGTTACACATAGAAACAACCCTTTCTATATGTAAGTTGATTTCACGTATATGGACCATACAATCTTGTGATTGACATCCATGCAGTTCATGGACTCTGATGACCCTAGTTCATTAAATCACCTCTTGTGCCAAGCAAAGGCAATTTTACTGTACAAAACGATTGTCCATATCTGCATCATGCTTATATCAGTGTAGTTAAATAACAGTTTGGAGATATGCCCACTTTGGCTTACTATGACACAGTCTGTAAATAACTGGACTGAGACAACCAGCAACAACCCAAGCCATCATTGTGATGACCTACAATTGCTAAGTTGTACATAATGGAAAGCCTGCTTGCCTATTCTCATTTGTTGTCTCAAGCTGCAATGGTGCCCTGGCTCTTGTCCCAGTGTTACTCTTGATATGTTAACAAGGTTAGAGTATGGTAGACCCTTTCAGCAGAAGCAACAACCATGATATGACTTTTGTCAGATTGCATTGTATGGAGCATATAAGTACTTCTTGATGGGCCATCTTGTTTGCATATTTATTGGATTGTGATACCAAGTTTATTGCACTGATAACAGGAGTCAGTGTATGATGAGGTGAGGTGAAATTGGGTTTAACGTCCTGCTTGAGAATATTTCGCTCATATGACGACGCGCATGCGTGTGTATGTGTATGTGCGGCCTCTTGTACTAGCCCAGACTGAAGCTGGTTTTATAGTGCTAGCCCACTGAGATACCATGCCACAGTGAAGCATGAATACCCCACTCAGACACATTATACTGACTCCGAGCCGACCAGTCCTTGATGTACCCATTAATGCCGAGCGCCAGGCAGGGACCAACAAGTACCATATTTTAATGTCTTTTGGTATGACGCGGTCGGTGATTGAACCCGCGACCTTCTGCTCTCCGGGCGGACGCTCTAACCACTACACCACGGAGGCGGTCCAGTGTATGATGAATTATGAATCCAACATTGAAGCTGCTTTGTCTCTTACAGAAAGCTTTGTTTGAATGTTTGGATAAAGTGTGAGTGGGAGTGGTTTGGGCAAGAATGTGTACCTCTAAGGAGCAAAGGAACACCCTGTCCACAGAGCTATTCCTACTCACAGAACTGTGTATATATCATCAAGTATACGGACTGGCTAGCAATTCTGCCATTGAGTAAAGTGTAACAATTTACATAACAACATAGACAAATATTCAACAAGACATGATTTATTTAGTGGTAAAATATATTAAAAACAATGTTAATAGAAACACTTGTAAAGTTGATAACACTGCCATAGTAATTAATTGCACATTTCATGGACACATTCATAAATCCTTTTTGTACATAATAATATCAAACGAAAACATGAAGGAGTAGTAATAAGATATGAATACAATTAGCAGAGACGAATATCCTCAATGTTTGTAGTGGGTGATTTCATTGTTATCCACTATCTTGTTAAACATGCAATTTTCAGATAAAATATTTTAATAAAAACTCAGTTAATTAAAGTAAGGGCTCAATTTAAGCATTTAGAACTTGCACTAGTGCAAAATGCATTCTCCTATTTATTTATTCATAGAGTTCAAATTCATTAAATGTAACCCATATGCAACAAGTTGAACAACAAAAGTGTGATTTGGCTTTTATTCACATTGTCATTTTGTAAACATATGAACTCAATTTCTCTGAAGATTTCAAGGGTTACTGATATTATATTGACTTGGGCTAAAGATGGATTTCATGTTCCAAAGCTTTGTAAAGATATATATTTCCTACAAATTTGATACAAACCATTAAGTTACAGTGAAATATCTGCTTGCTTTCATTACCCATGAGCAGTTTACTCTGATGAAACATTAAAGAAAACTTAAGTTGAAATTGTTTTACCCCCAAAACATTAAAACAGCATTTCGTTTGGTTTGTATTCTTAGGCCATAGTTGTAGGTAATATAACAGTTATTATACATTTTTATAGACCAAATATGGATATGGCCACTTTTTTGTTGAACATATACCAGCATTTGTTACACATAAAAGTTTTTACTGGTCTATCTCATTTCAATCATATCTTTACTAACATTCAAACTCTAAAGAACCCTGTGAGTTTCTGTTGACCCTTGACCTGAGGCAGGAGTTGTCGACGGCAACCCTTCTTTGAAGCTGGAGCTTTTTTCTTCCGAGCAGCTGTTGGTTGTGACAAACTTGGTTGAGACAGAGTGGGTTGAGATAAAGTGTCATCTGTGGTCTTCGTGTTTTTGCTCACTTTGTCACAGATCTTTCTCTTCTTGGCTGGTTGATCAGACTTCAGTGGGGGCTTTGTACAGAGATTCTCCTTGTCCAAGGCAGCACAGGTCCCACGCTTCTTGGCAGGTGGCATTCCCAGCAGGATCTGGGCCGTGTCAGGGCACGCATGAACAACTGTTTTACTGAAATGAAGACGTGGAGTAAATTATAGAGTTGCTCAACTGTCACTTTTAACTGTGTCAAACAACTGCAATTCAGAGTTGCATCCCATTACTATGAAAGGATTAGCATTTTTTGCTGGGAATGCCAAATTACCTTGATAATAACCATTGGTCATTTGTGTCAAAAACTTCAACCAGTATCAGTGTGGATTTTTCATGTTTATTAAAACTGACTTGTTAGATAAGTTCTTGTTACATTCAAACTGTTGAAGTTCTTTAACCTCTACTAGCGAGTGAACAGTTATCGCCGCGCAACAGTTATCACCAACACATCAGTATCACACGTGCGCAGTTCCGGTCTATTACAATTCTGGTATTTTTCCCACGGTATTTCACAACAATAAAGGACAGCAAAAGAAAATTCTTCACGGCAAGTAACATAAGAGAAAAATTAAAGATAAAGTTATGAAACCTATAAAAAAAGTTAACTTAGTCGGGGGGATGTCCCACGACCTATATCATAGCAAGTTGATGTTCACAAGTCATTAATTGTTTCATTCCCTATCAATCTACTGTAAAATAAACTCTCAAATAGTCACAAAATCAATTATTCAAGGTTACTGTGAGATATAAATATATATTATTCTGAATGGCGATAACTGTTACAGTTAGTTGTGAGGAAACATCTATTTATACTGCCATGATTCCCTTCGGCCGCGTTCTATATAAATATGATCGGCGGCAGTGAATGGGCTGGACACATGGTGAATAGCTAATAAAGTATCATAATTAATTCTGTTTCATGAATTTAACGAACGACAGAGTAATTTTGCAAATACCGCTAAAATATGGCAATAACTGTTCGCTAGCCAGCAGAGGTTTGGAAATGAGGTGATTATAACTGAGTAAGAGTGGAATGAGCGAGTATAATTTTATGCCGTTTTTGGCAACATTGTGCCAACATCACAGCAGTGGTCACCAGAACAGGGATTCACACATTAAAAGCTTGGCCTTTTGGCTGACGAGTTAATACTTTATGACTAAGCTACCTCTCCACGCGAATGACCTGAAATGTCACCACAAATTTATCTTTCGACAATTACTGAACACCACACACAATTGCCTGATGTCTCACCTTGGAAACACAATGACAGAATTGAGCTGTTTACGCGTCAACTTTTCTCCACATGGCAACACAACTTCAGAATTTTCCTAAAAAGAAAACAAAAACGTAAGTAATTTGTTTCTGCAATAAAAGCAAATATTAACAGATCATAAAGAAACTTTCATACACCAGCAAAAATGTTATAATTAGGAGATAATCCATTTGTGTTTACATTTTGAAAGTGAATATAGCTGGTTGAATGCTGATAAATGAAACATTTAGCAGAGTTCAACTAACTATAATCACTTCCAAAATGTAAACACAATAGGATTATCTCCATTCTACCATGATATATGCACCATGAATAAAACACGTTTTAAATATGCACTCATTACCCTTGCGTAGTTTTTTGACAGGCCTAGACTACAATGGTATCCTCCCATTACCCCTACAGCTTATAACAACGAAGTTCACGGTCCAATGCACTGCTAATCCCCTTCCTGTTACCTGTTACCTGGACAATGGACTAGCCCAAACACATGAACACAAGATTTAATGTTTTAATTTATGGATTTAATTACACAAATAAATGTATATAATACACAGATATCTTCCTGGTCGTGACATGAATATGAGCAGCAGGTCATGTTAACTTTTTAATGTTAATTTTTGTCTTTTAAACAAGTCTCTATCCCAATTTGAGGAGATGGCCCACAGCGTCAAGGAACTGCATTGGTGTTTTCAGCCCAAGATTGAGCTGCTCCTTGAGGCGACACAAACGATGCTCCATCTCTCTGTACACTCTCTTTCTGCTCCTCTGTGCTGCTCCAAAGTCTATCTGGGAAATTTTCGCTCTCTCAGCGTGTTCAACTTTCCTGATCACCTCAACAAATCGGTAGATGTTGGGGTGTCGATGTGGGAGACCCCGTTACAGGCGGTTGTGGAATCCCTCTAAGTTGTTGTTTGTCCTTGGACCTGTTGTTGAGTGATGGTTCCACAGTGGCAGATCGGAATCTTCGTCGTCGTCGACCCAGGTAGTCACCATGTAATCGTTGAAGGTGGCCGCTCTTGGTACATCGGGGCGTCGTCCATGGCGTCAACCCACGTGTCCTGGATACTGTTTTGGGGTAAAAGGGGTAGTCCAGCCGCTCTTCTTACCCATCTGGATATTTCCAGATCCTCTCTGTAAGCAACAGCAAGTCCCAGATCCTGGACCTTCCTCCAAATGGCCTGACAGTAGTGTAAGAAGCAACCCTTCACTTCAGCACTCGGAAACTCTCTCTCTATAGCATGAATTGCCGCCAGCTCAAAGTCTGTCTGGACACAGGATGGGGCAAGCAGCCGGTTAAGTCTCTGCTGAACTTCACTACAACGCATAGAAACTGGACATTATGACGTTTACATACTCATACCTTCAGTACTTAGAGTTACTTTGGGTGATTGTTCAGTCATTTCATGTTGGAACCAGGCTGGGTCAATATTTTCCTCCATATCCGATCCAAACACATCAAAGAAATCGCCGAGGTCAAGCGTAACAGTTTCAGACGACATGTTTGTTTACCTTTGTTAGGGTTAATGAGTGCAAAATATTCCTACTTCTAATTTTTCAGTAACAGCCAATCAAAAACGAACATACTTAAATGTCATGGTAGAATATCTGATATATTCCTGATATATTATCAGAACAATATGAAAATAATTAAGATATACACTATGCTCTACTCCAATGTACTGACTGACTGACTGACTGAGTTTGGTTTTACGCCGCTTTTAGCCATATTCGAGCAACATCACGTCGGGGAACACCAGAAATGGGCTTCACACATTGTACCCATGTGGGGATTCGAACCCGGGTTTTCGCGTGACGAGCCAACGCTCTAACCATTAGGCTAGCCCACCGCCCCTACTCCAATGTACAGTGTAATAAAGTACTATTATAGTTAAAGTACAAGGACACTTGCTGTTGGCACCTTTGCTCTTTCATTTAAGCATATTTAGAATAACTATACAAATATTCTGGTAGTTTGGGCATGTGACATGCTCACTTGCTTGTGGCAGACAAGAGGAGTCACTGACTGGGAGTGGGATATCATGACAACCATGTTATAATGATGGAACTAGGAGCATAGCTATAGAGCTATTATCTCACATCATGTCAGTAACTATCAAGTTCATGTAGACATGCTCTGCTGATGTATTACTCCTGACTTACATCAAGTTCAGGCTGTGATGTTAGTCCCTGTCGGACAGTCGGGTGACATCAGGCTTGTCAGGGCTGTCCTCTTCCATGGCGACAATGTCAGGGGACCTGCAACAGGAGAATGTAAATGCCTACAGTACAGAGTACAACATTCCCTCTGATATCATCCGCGATAGTCCAGGTTAGCTATTCTCGAAACGTTCATAGCCCTATGAACTTAAGCCCATTCTTAACACATTGGCTACGATCAAAGTTAACAAGTCTTAGGGCTACGAACGTTTCGGGAATAAGGGTCCAGGGAATTATATCTTGGTTATGATAAATACCCTGAACCTATCTCCATTACTATCATAGGCTTTGTTTTACAAGGGAAATCTCAGTCTCTCCTGTCTCTAACTGGGCCCAGAATTGTTCTTGCTTATGAGTCATTTGATTGGATGACAAGTTTTAGCAACTTGCAATTCTTAATGACAATAATGGTAAGGTACTCTATGGATGACAACATGTTAATCTATTATGAGACATTTCGGTATAGATCCTTATACCATTGCCAAGCAAGAATGTCACATTCTACCTATGTGTAGAATTGAACCTGGGCCATTAGCCAGAGGAGCAAACACGGTAACCACTTGGTTATCCATCCCCACATCAACCAGTGAAACCATTGTGTAGGTATCAGTCGCTGTGTCCTGCTACACACAGAAACAGGTTCTTCACATACCTGAACTGTGACATGAGGCATGGGACTCTGGTGGGCGTGGTGGGGTTCAGTGCCATGTCACTGAGGTACATCTCACAGGAGTTGTCTCCCCCTTGGGTACTGGCCATTTTGTCCAGCAGTATCTTGATCACTCTCAGAGTCCGTCGTCCTATCAGAGATCCTCCTTCTGATGCGGGCTGCAACATCATTAAGTATAAAATTCTAGTTTGATGGTATTGTTTATTACATAATGCAAAGTTTTCATTCACATTCACTGGCCTAAGTGCAGTCACATCTCAGCAGACTGAAACACATATACACTCCAACTCAGATGTGATAACTTATGGTATTCACTTGAGTCATTAAAAACAGAATGGGAATTACAAGGAAGTGGTCTCACCAACCCTTAGCCAATCAGATGTCTCTATTTAATGGAACCTCCTGACAATATTTTAACATATTGTTTTCATCTGATAATGCAGTTATATACCTGTTTTTCTATAGTCCGAAAATTCAGTATTGACTGAAGAAGAACTCCAAGGTTAAAACAAGGAAATGACATCAAATAACAATTGCATTTCTCCTAAAAAGATGTACAAATATTTAACTGACAACCTCAATAACTTTTAGTAGTGCCTTTTTTAATATTAGTATCCATTTCCTGACAACTAATGTTTCGTTCAAGGCATCACTGGCGGTAATCTCATCACAACTGTTGCACACATTTCACACACAATTTTGCTGAAATTATTATCAACACTACTAATTAAACATATAAATGAAATAAATATTGATACATTGAGTAAGTGAGTTTAGTTTTACGCCGGTTTTAGCAATATTCCAGCAATATCACGCAGGGGACACCAGAAATGGGCTTCACACATTGTACCCATGTGGGGAATCAAACCTGGGTCTCCGGCGTGATGAGTGAATGCTTTAACTACTAGGCTACCCCACTGCCCCCGATAAATTGAAAACACTGATATGGACTACAGATTTGATGAACACATTTTGGTGGTTTCTTGCAGATCGTTATATCCAAGTTTTCTTGTATTTGAAAACATTGAGACCTTGTCTGGGGTGTGAGCAGTCCTGGTCTCGATGTCGTCGACAATCTGTGAGATGCAGTCGTAAAGTTGCTCAGTCACCACCTCTACATCCTCCTTCCTCAACTTAAGCAGCTTACATTTGACAAGTCGATTCTTCACAACGTTTAAGATGCGGCGACATGCACACCTGAAATCACCACAACATAAGTACAACTTTAGAAAACATTTGAATCAACAAACTTCTGCATGCCGATCATGTTGGGCTCGGAGATCTAATTATTTCCCCCCAAATCCAGTGGTCACTCATCTTGACCTCATCTATGTCTGAACTGATTTAAAAATCAGATACAAATTCTTAGGAATCTTTAAACAAATCCCAGCTGGGATATCCCCTGGAAGGAGTCAAGGTTACACACCTTTTAGTTTAAGAGATGTGAAAAATGTAAAAGTGTATGAGGTGAGGTTTAATGTGGCATTCATGATAATTTTATCTCTCACATAGCAATGTATACATGTGCAGCTGCTTGTATTCATTGTATTGTACGAGTCATGATGTCACAGTGTAACATGGATAACCAACTTAGACATGTTATACTGACGCCGAGTCAGCAGTCCTTGTCTAATTCCCTTAATACTGTGTGCCAGACAGGGCAACAGACAGTTGAACTTCATTCCACATTTATAAATCAGTAAGAGAGTCGAACCTGATATCTGAAACCTCTTCTGCGACAGTCAACAGCTTCTGTACCAACTCCGTGAGATCCCCGAGCCCCTTGACATGCTGGTTCAGGGGACACTCTGTATCAGGGGCATAGCCCTTCCCACCCAGTCTGATACGCATCAGGAACGATGTGGCAGTCTGTAAGAATATTTTACTTGTTTCAGCTGTTATTTCAAATTGTAAAGAAACTGGCTCGAGTTTGTGAGTTTGTTTTGATGCCACTTGACAAGGGCATTTATCTTTATCACCTTGTTGTTGGAGGACGAGTCGAAGGTGATGCCACTCTTAGACAATTTCTGATTTGTTGTGACCCATACACATCGGAATGGTTCTGACAAATCTAGAAAAACAATCAGGACGAATCTAGGATCCTGGGGTGCCTAAGGGATGTAACTCTGTAACGTGAATTCATGTGCCATAGACCACCGGGCCAACTGTACAAGAGAGTCAACAATTGAGGGCTAACCTGGAACATGGACATCTATTCAACAGAACGACAGCATGAAAAGTGAGGTACGAGGTAGACGGCGAGAGTTACCTGCTCTTGGCTGTAGGGGGTCCGGTGGGGCCCTGTAGGGATAGTCTCACAAGACAAAACGAATTTTTTTGTTTTGTAAATATTTTATTAAAAAATATAGTTACAACTGTCGTAGGATTTAAAATGGACATTTAAATGCTTATATGTACCCCAAGGAGGACTTCTTCTGAAAAAGAACTAGAAGAACAAACAGGACGAATCTAGGATCCTGGCGTGCCTAAGGGATGTAACTCTGTAGTGTGAATTCACGTGCCATAGACCACTGGGCCAACTGTACAAGAGAGTCAACAATTGAGGGCTAACCTGGAACATGGACATCTTCTTCCTCTTGGCCTCGTGTTTTAGAGCAGTGAAGGCATGGTGGTCCAGCTCCCGATCTGGTACATTGAAGATGCGGGCCAGTGCGAGCTCGCTGCGGGAGTTCACCAGAACGTGGAGATACGCCAGCAGCACTCTGTGAGTGAACACCTACAACAGTGGATGAGAAGGTTTACTTCCATTCATGTATAATCTGAATACCTGCGGGCAGGGTTATCGCACATGCATCTTTAACTTACATATCGCAGGAAATTAGGTATCAGCTTCATGTGGAGGAGCTAGCTCAAATTTTAGCTGTTATTGAGCAAGTTTATACCTGTTTGTATATACCTGAATTCTTTGGAGGGATACAATGTAGTATACTATGGTGTGTATTATAAAAAGGAACAAATGAATCTTGTGATAAACTGAGATGAGATAATGTGTCATTGTTTGGTTTTTTTATATTAAACTGGTTATATTGTACAAAATGTATGTAGAAACATTCCTTTTACATTTTCACATGTTTGGATGAGAAGACATGTTGAATAATTATTAATGAAAGAGTGGATTTCCAGGCGGTGAGACTATTCCCAATTACAGCACATGTGCTCTGTATCGAGTTTGAATCGACTTGGTTATATTGAACAATATGTACAACAAAACATTTGATCTCACATTTTACATTTTTGGATGACATGTTGAATATGTACCAATATATACCACCAAGACAGAAAGAGAAGTATGAAAAGTCTTTACATCAGTTCAATCTCACCAACCTGTTGTATGGAAGCTGAAGTAGGTCTTGATCCCTTAACTGGTGTTTCCACAACAAGGGGGAGTAACTCCTCCAGCGATCTGTTACGTTGACTGATGGTTTCAGTGTCTTCAGATGTACCATCATCGTACAGCTCTGTGACGTCACCACCTCTGCACAACTGTCTCATCAGCAGTTTCTACAACAGCGAAACATGCACACCTGTAATTATGTATGTAACCTTTTCATGATGGACCATGGAGTTATCACAACAGGAAAAACAAATCTGATCATATTAAGGCTATTCTGGTGCCAGACATCTTCAACATGGGAAGTGGCGGGGTTATGGATCCACCAAAAATAAAATAAAATAAAATTGACATTTCTGATAATTATAAATACTGCCACCTCTAATGCCAAAGGCTAATGGAATTGAGTAATTGTTCAAAGAGGATTCATTGTGAAATGTGAAATAAGAAATACATTTTGATACCATCAAATCATGTCTTTTTGACAATTTCCATAGAAACTGGGCCCAGCAATAACTGTTTTCATTTTTAGTCCTATTTCTTTTATCTGTAGGGGTGGTTGAACAAGACAAAGATGAGTTTTTTGTTTTGTAAATATTTTTATTAAAATAGTGTTACAGCTGCTGTAGGGTTTTAAAATGGACATTTTAATGCTTTTATGTACCCCAAGGAGAACTTCTTCTGAAACAGAATGGGCACAGCAATAACTGTTTTCATTTTTAGTCCTATTTCTATTTTTCTAGCAAACATCTGATCATCATACCTCAGTTTGACTTCTTGGCACACCTAGAAATACAAGTGTTGTGGTCGACAGATCTCTCTGGAGCTCCGAATCTGTGGGGTCTTTGGTTAACTCATTATTAAAGGCTGTCACGACATCCATGATGTCCACATGTCCACAAGCAGCCAGGAAGGAATTGTACTGAGTCAGCAATTCTACACCAGTCTGGGAGGACAACACTTCATCTGGGTTCAGCTTCGCCGCAGATAGTTTCTGGTAGTAGTCATGAACCTTGCTTTTTTCTGCAGATAGTTTCTGGTAGTAGTCATGAACCTTGCTTTTTTCTGCATCAAATGAGTCCCCTTTCTGCCAAGAAAATGAGACTGGCACATGTATGTGGTTCATTAAAAGTGTCTAGTTAGAAATATTCAAGATTTATAAATGAGGCCTGTAAATAATTGTACCAGACACACCTGTACAGTTGACTCACCTCCTTGTTTATGTTAGCCAGACACACCTGTACCACAGTACAGTTGACTCACCTCCTTGTTCATGTTGGCCAGACACACCTGTACAGTAGACTCATCTCCTTGTTCATGTTGGCCAGACACACCTGTACAGTTGACTCATCTCCTTGTTCATGTTAGCCAGACACACCTGTACAGTTGACTCATCTCCTTGTTCATGCTAGCCAGACACACCTGTACAGTTGACTCACCTCCTTGTTCATGTTAGCCAGACACACCTGTACAGTTGACTCACCTCCTTGTTCATGTTAGCCAGACACACCTGTACAGTTGACTCACCTCCTTGTTCATGTTAGCCAGACACACCTGTACAGTTGACTCACCTCCTTGTTCATGCTGGCCAGACACAGTTGTAAAGCCTGAAGACTCTCCTCCATAGACAACACAGTAACCCGAGGGCTGACCAACAGGCCATGGCTTCGACACAGTCGCGTCACAAACTCTCCCACAGTTGGGTATTTCCCAACATCAGGTATCACAGAGTTTGGACAAGCTGGGGAGATAAACTGGACATTCTCTTGAGCTGAAACAGTGATACTATTTATACAGTAATAGTCTTACACAGTTCCAGGTACAGATTTCATCATCAGGTGGCTGATTCAACTTGAGAGCTGTATTTCCTGAACACTATCATGACTGCAAGAATAAGTTAGCTTCATTTGTCCTGGACCCATAAACTAACCTACAAGCTATACATTAAGAATGGCCATGCCCATGTTAATCTTTGCTACTGAGAGTGTTAACAGGTAGATAAACAGTTTCATGGGGTGCAAAAATAGGTTTTTAATTATTTGAGATGGTCAAATTTATCGCATTTTCCATTAAATAAATCATGGTGATTATTATTTTTTATGATTTTATGTATTCATTTGCCAGGGGACATTGAAAATATTTCAACTATGCCATTTCAATATTTACCATTCCATGGCACACAAGTTAAGCACTATTTCGATACCTGACATATTAAATTTTTATGAAGTTAAAATTTGTCTTTCCTCATTCAACATATTCAGAACTTTTTAGCTGAACAACTCTATTTTTTAACCAGTGATCATTATGGGAGCACAGATGAATCACAATATGAACTGGCACAGTAACGTATGACGACAGACTTCTCTTTATCATGTTTATATGCATTATTTTCATCAGTATTCCACATAATCTTTAAGCATTTTTCACCTACAGTTGCACCTTTGCTGTTGTATTATGAGCTCTTATGGGTATTATGTTAAAATTTCAGTTATTATTGAATAAACATTATAGTATCATATATAGGTCCATTGACAACAAAGAACTGGTACAGCATTCAATATTTGTATGTCTGTACAAATATGACAAGAAGTATCTCATTACCTGAGTCAGTTTGAGTTCTGATGTACTTCTCTACACTTGAAGCAGAGGTAATCGCCTTTTGATGTATAAATAATCTGCACGGCATTGTAAACGTTTCCACACCGCAATGAAGCCTGAAATTATATACGGTTGTTGGTTCAATTGGCAAAATGAAATAGTTAAATACTGTCATATCCATATCATTTCAACATATTTCTGCACAGGGAATGAATAAATAAAGTCTTGAATGTGACAAAGCATATGTTGTTAATCAAAGATTTGAATTATACCCCCAATGAAATATTGTAAATATTAACATATGAATTATATTATAAACAAAATTTGTGAGTTGCATTGTCGACAAAATAATAGATCTGATCAGATCAACTAAAGACTTGTCCTTTATTGCGAACTTCGGTTCAAAATGTTTTTGTAGAACTTTTAGCTGCCATCTTTTCCTAACCGAGAGCTGCCCTACAGTCAATTACATGATTAGAACCCCGTCGCGGCTCTCGGCTAATCTTTTCCTGTTTCTGAATCTGACTCACGCGTGTTCCATATTCAATTATTGTGAAAGAATATTAGTTTGTGGACATTGTCTGCGTAGTATATTTCGAAAAAACTCGTATGTACGTTTGATGTTCCGTCAAAGTCAAACATTGAAAATCATGAAATGAATTTGCGACACTGTATTAACATCAATAAAAGCGATGAAACAGATCTGAAAAACCCTACAGATGTACACAATACCCAGATGAACCTCTTGTAAAAGCTTTTTCATTCATCAAAAACGCGACAAAGAGTGTGTTTTTACCCTCAGATCAATCAGACGCCACTGTCCGGGAATATTGTTTTCAAAATATACACCACGGCCTGTATCGCCAAGTTATTATCCAATCAAAATACAGCCCTGAAAGGGAGATAACTGATTAAAACTCCACACATGGTCGTTTGAGGAGTACACTGTTGAGAGATAACGGCTTGCCCCAACGGCTTATTTCTTGCAATTGCGTGCCGAAGCCAAACAAAAAGTGTCTGAAATCACACGTTAGATTTTTATGCTACATTATCCTTCAATAAATAATAGAAAAGCAACCCTGAGAAACACTTCATTTTCAGAAGCTGAAATATCGTAAATTTGAATGAGTGAGTGAGGATGATGGCCTTTTCGCAATCTTCAATCAGTATCACGGCAGGGAATCAGAAAAAGGCTTCGTATAGTCCGTATACGGGGACCCGGGTCTTCGGCGTAACGAGCGAACGCTTTAACCACTAGGCTACCCGAACACCCTAGCTGTTTTTGGATATATCAATGTCTGTTATCAAAAGTAAATTAATATATTCATTATCATATTAGACCCAATATGTATAAAATGAATATCCTATTTAACAATCAATTAACTTTCAATTTTGTTGTAAAATAATTATGGCTTTATTTAAGAAATAATTTCAATAATTTAATATGTAACTTGCTTGATGTACTTTGCAGTTTGCAGCCTCAGTGAATAAAGTTCAGTTCAGTTCTATTTGAGTGCATGGACATGAAGAAAGAACCTACATATATATGTCTTGTTATTCGTTGAAAATATGATTTGTTGATGTGTAATAAACATCAAGTTTTGTCTGATATATCTTCTTTTGTCATTTTTACATCTTGATATCAAATAATGCAACATGGGAAAATGTTATGAGTATTAACAAATAAAAAAATAATGTCTGGCCATTTTGACTTTTTCTATGGCCATTTTGACTTTTTGATGTAGCCATTTTGACTAGGGGTTTGTGGCCATTTTGACTTTTTTTGTGGCCATTTTGACTTGGATGTTTTATGGACATTTTGACGTGTGGCCATTTTGACTAGGACCCTGTGTATTAGAGACTAATGTACTGGTACCAAACTTAAAATGCCACCCAGTTGACGTTGAACTATGCGGGATATTTAATCTTCACCATGCGTGTTTCAATGTTTTTACCAGTTTGCATTTTAAAAAAATAAACTGAGAAGCATGAGGAACTATCTTTTAGTTGATTTTATGATATGTTTGATATACATCTGAAAAATGAACCGTCCTGACACTTACCACTCAAATATCCCTACTACATTGTTCTAGATTTTCAAATATAATTTGATTTTGTGTTTGTATATCTTAAGAAAGCCCAAATTACACAACTGTTGATGGATGTCTTGGACGTGTAAATCTTCGAACATTTATAAAGTTATAAATTTTACAAAATTACATTTCATACCGGCTCACGTGGCTGCAAATTCATTTCTTTATCCCGTCTAATTATCATGGTACACATGCACTTAAATATAGCCTGTTGTCCTCGATGTACGTTTGGGTGGTTCTGTTGTCTTGTTTCGTTTATAGAATTGTCATATTAACATATATGAAAATTATAAATGAACAAATTCACTGTCTCCATAATATCTGGTCGGTCGCCTGGTAGTGAGGTATGTTTCGGAGAGGGTGGTGCCGTTCACAATATTCGAATTAGAAACTAAAAGTCAACGTTGAATACACACTGCCATTTAGAAAGTGGTCAAATGTGGCATATGTTATATTTGGGATTACACTTTCTCAGTGATCGAAGCACACATTCTTGCACCTAAGCATTGGCGGATCCAGAGGAGGGGTTCAGGGGGTTCGACCACCCCCACCCCCCTTTCAAAATTCCTGGATCCGCCCATGCTTAAGTACATGTATATGCTAAACTGTAACTTCCTTCTTCAACGAATAAAAAATGAAAACAATTTTTTTTAAATCTACATTTTCATGGATCAATACTGAAAAAGTAGAAAGATAAGTTAAAACATAGGGCTCTACTAAACACCAATATTCAACTTTAATGTTAAAACATAAACTGGAAGGTTCGGAGTGAGTTTGTCATGCGAAGCTACCAAAGCCATCGTTTGAAAGCTGCTGTTTTGAAGATAACTGCTGCAGGGAAGTGATAGTACGGGCTGAGCTGATGCAGATGTCAAAAGTCAGGTAAATAGTCATGAGTTCACCAGCGTTCTAGGCCCCCTTTCTGTTATGTGGTGTACACTTTACATCATATATATCTAGGATGTGCCTTGGCTCAGTCGTAGTGGGCTCCCATTCAAGCCGATAAATATTTAAGAACCTGATAAGGAAGAATTCATGTCAACCCAATGTCACCTGTGTCTACGCCCATGTTAGATTTGACTCCTAGTTTGGGAAGGGATTAGTGTTAATTATTTGCTTTACGAGAATCTGAATCTGTGCATTATCTGTGTTGACCATGTAATCGATTAATGTTGACATATGCGATGTTCATATGTAGGTCAATTCCCGAGCTGATACATCACGTTCAGTTGCCATAGCAGCCCGTGTAGCTTTTATACATGCACTTTATGATCATATTTGTTTTACGGTTCATGACCTTCGCTGCAGCCGTACCCCTCCTCCAGCTACACAACGTATAGCCTCACCCGGATTCAGGGATACAGCTTTTTGAGAAAGGGGGCGGTGTGTGTGTACAGTTCATTTTCACCCGTTTTCACGAGAGTTCCAATGGTCATTTAATAAACTTTTAGGACAAAAGGGGAGGGGTGCGCACCCCTTCAAATCCCCACCCCCACACACCTATGGACGTATTATATCATTCACAACAAATCGATCAACAAGTGATGGTGCATATATAGAGTCGTGCCAAAAGTATTCGGACACTTGACGTAACTTCCATAAACTTACATGTTGATTTAGTGTAGCATTAATAATTTTCATGAATTTCAGTTTTGTAAGATCCAAGTCAAATTTTGCACATTTGTGAGGAATCATCTTACCTACAATCATGTACATATACTTTCTGTTTAATTTTCCATTGCTTATTTATCGAATTGTTGCCATTCGATAAATAAGCAATGGAAAATTAAACAGAAATTATATGATTGTAAATAAGCTGATTCCTCACAAATGTGCAAAATTTGACATGAATCATACGAAAATTAAATTCATGAAAATTATTTATGCTACACTAAAATAACAGGTAAGTCTATGGAATTTACGTCAAGTGTCCGAATATAACTGGCATGGGTCTGTATGTACAGTGCCGTGAACTCCTTAAACATGGCGGACTATGGGATTGTGCATTGTGGAACCATACGTAAGCTGATAAATGTGATGTCATTAGTTAAATAGTTGTCGGAAAATTGAACTGAAATTATGTGCACAGAGCAGAGATGATTTCAAATTTGCCTGTCAGTTTTTACAAAGATCCATCCTAAACTCACTTCATGAAATTTATGGTACACCTACAGAATACCGGATACCTACCAGCAATATTGTTTAGTGTCATGTCACCCTAACGCTAACCCTAACCCTAAACCTTACCCTAACCCTAACCCTAACCCTAACACCTAAACCGTACCCTAACCCTAACCCTAAGTAAACTCGCGTGCTTTCAAAGATGGCAGAAGCTATCCGGTATTCTGTAGTCTTACCAAAATTATTTATGCTACACTGAAATAACATGTAAGTCTAGGGAAATTACGTCAAATGTCCGAATACTTTTTGCACGGGTCTGCAGTTCAGCCAGCTAAACGTCGTGTTCCTACTAAGGTATACACCGACGGTTGGAACACGACATTTAGCTGGCTGAACTACAATAGACTAACAGCTAGTCTCTGAAATGAACATATTTTACTGAAAAAAAAGTCCATAATAAAAAATAAAAAAATGTAATGAAAAGGAGCCCTGAGACCTTCTTCATTTTCTGAAGCTGTGGAAATCTAGACTTGCCACATTTTCTAGACTTGCATGGGCTTTCTTGGATATATTTGCTTCAGGGTCTGTACGAGAGACTAGAACTTCAAGTGATGGTGCTTATAGATGATGCTGTGCGATATTGCTATGTACATCAGTGTTCTGTTGGGGACCAATCAGTTACCAGTTGTTTCTAACCTATCCAATAAGTGAAAACGAATTTGATACATTTTGAAGCAAACCATATTTTTTTTCATTTTAAGATAACTGTTATCTGACATGCATGAATGAAGTAATCTATTTCTTACACTAAATTGCACTGTTTTGTTATAAATGTTTGTATTGATTTGTCTCATGACGGTGGCACATGAAACATATTACAACAGCTGTGAGATCGAACCTAGTGCTCACTACTCAAACACGAGAATCATGCTGGTTGAGCCAATTAGTCACTTTGAGCAGTCCTATACGGCAGTTATGACATACTCAGATATGATATATAATGCATATCGTCTAGCACACTAAGATTCATTGGGCGTGTGCCTGCATTGTAAGTTGTATCAGTACAAAGGGAAAGTTGATCAATGGTCTTGAAATGACTTTAATAGAAATAGCACAAAGACTGAATAATTATGCCTAATACAAATTTCAATAACTTGTTGAAAAAAAAATGAAAATCAATTTAATGTCTTCCAGAAAGTGTATTTCCAACACGTATGACTGAACATGATTATAGGAAAGGAAGCAACAGATCATGACGTCTCAAATATGGTGGCACATGTCACATGATCTCTTTCCAGGAACCAATGAGAGTTGGTGGGTCAAAGAGCCAAGTGGCTCAACTAGTCCGACTCTCTCTTAAATAACAGTCACGATCCACACATGGAATATCAACATGGAATATCAAGGTGAAAATGATGATGATAATTATAATAATGTGTCCATTCATATTGCGCCAAACTCCACACTAGGTATGCTCATAGCGCTAACAATCAAAGCACAGCACATTATTACCCCGGATAACCCAAGCTGCCTGTTAGGCACTATATGGTTATAGTCACATGACTTTTTCCACCAGGTACCCATTTTCCTGCTGGGTAAACAGAGGCAATTTTTAACAAATTCACATGAGCCCACATGTATCACATGCTTTGTTGTTGGGGCAGGACTGAAGTCCTAGAAACTCTCAGGAGTCAAACTGCCAAACACTTCACCCATCCAAAGATTCTCACGATGCTTAACTTCCAACAGATTTGTGACCTGAGCTTTGTGCACAGGACCACATGTTGACACTTACATAAGACCTCAGAACATTTATTAACACTCTAAAACCATTACGTTTCAACACAGACATAAGTGAGTTCAGAATCACTAAATCAGGGCAGTAGTCCCTCATAGTCTGACCTAATTTCAGGTTTTTAACCCAAAGGTGTTTGCAAAATAAAAAAAATATTACACATTTGGAGAGGAAAATAAAAATGGACATTCTATAATAAAATTTTAAGTGCATCTGCATATTGTCTTTTCAGGGAGGGTCATGACTGAAATGTACAAGGACTTTTGGAGAGTCAGCTAAAATATTACATATATTGGGAAGGGTAATTATTTTCAGTACATTAAAACATCAATAACCTTGTCAACCTCTCATCTAACCCTTATTCAGTTATGACTTGCAGGAAACTAAATATCATTATTTATTACAATATATTTATACAAACTGTGAAATTAAATACAGTAATAAGTGCTCACTTTTCAACCTGACAGTATGGCAGATAGAAATAAATTGAATGATCCCAACAGAAATGTTATGATAGTGGGCTGGCAGCTATTTTAAACAGTGGTTTGAACTAAGATTGTTCATTAACGCTCAGTGTCTGAAAACAAATATGACTCGTGCATGGATTTAATAATTGCCCTGTTGTAGTTTTGTTATGATGAATAGAGTATGTGCTATGCATACATACTGAACTTTTCACTAAGGGATGATGGACTGCCACAGTGATGTAGTGGGTAGAGTGCCTGTGTGGAGAGTGTCAGCTCAGCGGTTCAGTGCCCTGTCTATCATATACTCCTGAGCAGAAATTAAGCAACGAGTATTTTCAGTGTAATATCTTTATCAATCACAATAGCAATTTTTGCCGACATGCTACTGAAAGGTAAATATTCAAAGAATACATAACCTTTGGAGATTGTCAAATTGATTTATCTGATAACATTGACAACATCACCCGAACACAACCACCCTCAGAAACAACACGCAAAATGTGTGACATGAATGTTCTCCGCTTTCACACATGCACCCTGATCAGTGTAAACCTACCTGTAATCATTCCTCTGGTACAATGAAGGAGTCCTAAATTCATTTTTATGGATGATAATGCCTGAGAAAGAGTTGTTAACGATGTTGTTTAGATCAACAACATCACACATATGGACTGGCCTGCAAGGTCTTTTGATCTTAATCCCAGAGGCAGAGTCACAACAGTCGGAAATGTTTTGAAAAAAGTTAACATGACCTGCTGCTCATATTCATGTCACGACCAGGAAGATATCTGTGTATTATATTCATTTATTTGTGTAAATAAATCCATAAATTAAAACATTAAATTTGTGTTCATGTGTTTGGGCTAGTCGATTGTCCAGGTAACAGGTAACAGGAAGGGGATTAGCAGTGCATTGGACCGTGAACTTTGTTGTTATAAGCTGTAGGGGTAATGGGATGTAGGGGTAATGGGAGGATACCAACATGCTTGGGACATTATTGGAAGTCGTGTTTACAGTCTCCGTGTTCACCACCAGACTCTGGATGACCTTGAGCAGGCGTTACAGAGAGAATGGCAGAACATTCCACAACAGCAATCTTAAAAGGAGCAACCGATTTTATGTTGTATGTAGTGTTGGGAATCAGGTTTAATGAATGATGAGATCATGATTCATAACTGGATCATTCTCACCTATCATGCACCAAGTTAGTTTCATTTTGCTTTTTGTCAGAACACAGAGGAAAAACAAACACAAGTACACACTTGAGAATGTTATTTTGCCAGAAAGTCTGTCCTCTCTTGTTTCCATGTAATATATATGCTGACAGTAGGTTGTAAATAAGTCTTGATGGTAGGTTATAGCAGTGAGACTTGACTCTGTCCTCTCTTGTTTATCCAGGTAATAAGTATGCTGACAGTAAGTTGTAAATAAGTCTTGATGATAGGTTAAAGCAGTGAGACTTGACTCTGTCCTCTCTTGTCACCATGTAATAAATATGCTGACAGTAAGTTGTAAATAAGTCTTGATGATAGGTTATAGCAGTGAGACTTGACTCTGTCCTCTCTTGTCACCATGTAATAAGTATGCTGACAGTAAGTTGTAAATAAGTCTTGATGATAGGTTAAAGCAGTGAGACTTGACTCTGTCCTCCCTTGTCACCATGTAATAAGTATGCTGACAGTAAGTTGTAAATGACTTGATGATAGTTAAAGCAGTAACTTGACTAAGTCCTCCCTTGTCACCATGTAATAAATATGCTGACAGTAAGTTGTAAATAAGTCTTGATGATAGGTTAAAGCAGTGAGACTTGACTCTGTCCTCTCTTGTCACCATGTAATAAATATGCTGGCAGTAACTTGTAAATAAGTCTTGATGATAGGTTAAAGCAGTGAGACTTGACATAGGATGCCAGCTGTTTTGTGTTCAGCTATTGTAAATTGTGTTTGTTTGTGTCATTTGGGCCTTCAAAAAACACACTTTCTTGTTTGGCACCCACCAATCATCAGTCCAGAGGCCTGGCCACCATCTGTACCCTTCACAGGTACTGTTTGAGGGATTTAATCTAATATAAAACCACATTATGTTTCACTTTTTTTGGATCTGTTGACAGTAAATTTGGTTGAAATGGAAAAACACATCCGAATTTTCTCTGAACAAGGCCTCAATATTATGATGTTTGCATAAAAATTAAGAAAGAAGAAAGTGCAAAATAGGTATTCATAGAGATTGCTTTTTCAATCTGTTTGTTTCACCTACCTACAGTTATTTCCTGTAAAGTTATAAATCTTGTGGCTTAATTGTAGAGCGAGAGCCCAGATAGCATTCGGACGTTGGCCCAACGTTGGCAATGTTGGCAAAACCATTGCCAACGTTGGGCCAACGTCTGAATGCTATCTGGGAGTAAGTTGATTGACAGTTTGTATCATCTATGATGACAGTGTTATCATTGTGTCAGATGATACACAGTACTAGGGGCAGTATGAATAGCTTAAACTGAGGGTTCAGTCGGTCTGAACTCAGTACTGAGAGTAGTGGTGTAACGATTCATCTATAGTATCGATGTTTGCATCGTCAACTACGCGATACAAGTGCATTGATACAAAACACATTTAGGCAATTTATCAGGATATTTATATCGCAAGGGTCCACGATACATCAATATATCGCCACAAGAGACGATATATCCCGGTACAACTTCAATACTAGTTAACGTTGTAAGGAGTATTGCATTAGGAATAGGAAGGGAGTCTCTTTGAAATTCTTCTGAATTTTAAAAACAAATTGAACCATTTAGGAATTTGTTTGTGTCTGTTATCTTTGTTACATGGACAAAGGAGTTGGTGTATAAGTGAAAGAGTGTGAACATTTTTCAAACTCTTTGAACTGTAGAATACTTGTCTTTAAGTAATTGAAATATGTTTTAGTTGTTTGACAAATAACACCATTTATTAACAACTGTGAATGATGTCTTAGCTTTGTTAAGAAAGAGAACAAAGAGAAGATACAATTTAGAAAGCATACTTAAGAGTTTTTTTCAGTGATTCTGAATTCTGATATAAATTACATTCAATTGTTTGTGAGAGCATCGGTGGAGAAACACACCTTCCTCAAAGGAAACTTCGGTTTCAAACTTATATATGTTAGATCGAAGTATACTAAATATGTTTGACTTTAAAAGCATTAAATGCTGAACCTGTATTAAATGAACAGCTTTTTAATTGTGTGTGAATGTAACACAAGATATGCTGTATAACAAATAAAGTTTCAGTCATTTTATCTATCATATATGTTCTACTATTAGAAATTGTAAAGTATCGGGATACGTATCGTATCGCCACCGTTGTATCGTGATGATAATTGTCTCGCAGGTTCCTTGCCAATACTTTCATGATGTATCGTCTCACCTAATTAAACTGGTATCGGGATATATCGTTTTGCCACTTAGACCACGATACACAGCTCTAACTGAAAGGGAATGGGATCTTTGAAAGGACGCTTGGTCATTGAGTGAAGACAACCTGTTTAGGGACCATTCATGATTTATGGCTAGGGGGTGATGATGATTTTAAGGGGTGGGGGTGTCACTCATTATGTTCTGGGGAGGTATGGGGTGTCATCAATTTTGTACATAAATATTATGCTTTAACATTTTGGGATTGATTTTTACATGACATGCAGGGGGGGTCTCTTACTTTGTACATAAATTTATGGGGGTTGGAGATGGGGTGTCATTCACATTGTACATGCTTCTCCATAAAAATCATCATCACCCCCTCTAGCCTTAAATTATGAATGGTCCCTTACAGATTTCTGTTTGTGAGCAAATGTGGGAAATGACTGCAATGGTGTGCATGTTCTTTGTATTGTGCTATGTCACCCTGATATGCTCATGCATGTCTGTCTTGGGCTGGAAATGTGTACATGAATATTTAACCTGTCTTGTCACGTGGAAAGTTATCAGGGTCAACACAACTTTATGCCCCACTCTGAGCTCACCTTACACGGCGTCTGAGGTAGGAAATATTTTTATGTTTGTTTATGTAATATGTCCAGGGTTACTGCTGGTTGCAGCCGATTGCTTGTCCTTCAATGTGCAGACACTGTGATACGAAGTATGCTGCAGCAGTCTGTATATAATACTGTTCTTTGTCATATGAGACAGTACATATGTCTTAGCGCGGTAGTTTTTAGTGTGCAGATAGGTTTTAGAATGCAGTCTACAGAAATCTACCCTATCATGATGTCCACGACAATGTATTGTTTTGAGAAAGATGGCATCCTGACACTTGATAATGATTACAATGATTTAGCAACAACTACAATGAATCTTATACAATGTTATGCCTCTTGCAGTGAAAATAATCAAAACGAAAATGACTTTGTGAATGCAGATATTTAACAGTACAGATCACAGTGGCCAGCATTTTGAAAATCTTTTTTAAAATTATTTTTATCACTTTATTTCTTTACTTATTTACAGATACAATTATATGAATAATTTGAGATATATGTACATGTATATTTGACAATATTGTATATAATATATATGATAATAGCTTCATTTGTACATTGAGCGAACATCGAATGAAAGACATTAAGTAACTTCTTTCATGTGATGATGTTTTCACATGGTGACCAAGAATTGAAAAATAATTTATCATATGAAGAGATTATGACATAAAGACCAAACTTTTCTTTGTCGTCATGACCTTTTGAAGCATGTTCATCTTGACCGAGGCTGACTGTATGAAGCCAAAATTGTGTAGAGCAAAGCCCATTTAAGTATATGAGGAAGACTTCATATACAATGTCAGTAAAGACTGAAATGCTGCTAAAACACGAGTAACCAATGTTCTTACACACCACTGGCGGATCCAGGAATTTTGAAGGTGTGTGTGTGTGTGTGTGTGTGTGTGTGTGTGTTTCAGGGGGTTTGAACCCCTATAGGCCCCACCAATGCAAATTTATCTTCAATGTGGTCTTTAAGTCAATTTCAGCAAATGCACACCTGTTGGTGGGAAAGAAACACATATGAGATAACTGGTATAAAGCATATGTATGAGACAGAATTCCAGGTTCATGATTGGCTACTCCATGGTGATGACCTAAGGTCAGATTAAGATGGTCTACTTTCCTGTAACTGTTAAGTTACTTATGTTTCAATGAACCACAGACCTGTTACTCATGCCAAGCGCCTCTACACCTTTGAATATACCTTTTTCACAGTGGTACAGTAAACAAGTATTAATGGCATAAACAAACTTAGATAACAGCATGGGTTTACTCCCAAAAGTTAGATGTCCCAAAAGTCAGACAAATCAATCAGGCATGACTGTGATTACAACCTAGTCTTACCCAGTGATATAAGGAACCTGCCCCATACAATAACGAGATGGTTTTCACTTTTGTACAGAAATACTTTGATCAGAATACTAATGTTGACTGGCTTACTCACTCACTGGGTCCTCCAAATGTGTTTTCACAATGTTCAATTTTGTAATAACAAGATTATAGATTTTGCATGCTTGTTTTTACAATGTTCACTTTGATCAAAACATTATTATAGATTTTGCATGCTTGTTTTTATGATGTTAACTTTGATCAAAACAAGATTATAGAATTTGCATGCTTGTTTTTACGATGTTCACTTTGATCAAAACATGATTATACATTTTTTTATGTTGTTGAGTTTCCATTAACCTAAAGGAGTTACTTCCTTCCTAGCATTGTTTTTCCAGCATAAACAATATAAAATATAGACAGAAGTACAGGGTGTAGGGCTAGCGTTCAATTATAACTTCCAAATAATAGGAAAACATTATCATTATCACTCTACACAAAATCAACCTTCATCCAAACGGCAAATGTATCACTTGCCAAATTCCTGAAACAATAGCCCACACTATCTTTAACTGCTCAAAATATAATAAACAAAGAAACCCATTTATCAATGCTTTAAAACAGTACCTCAGTAATGCTAACTCTTCTGATCTCAACATTCTAACAAACCCAAAATTAATTAAAACAATCACTAAATATCTTATTCATACAAAATTATATCAAACAATCTAGAAACAAAAACAATAGTACAATAATTCCACTTTTTACCATTTTAAAATTGTTATAAATATGTTTAACTTAAACTAATTTTTTAACCTTTTATTATGTTCATCATTATTCACTTAATATTTATGTTTTTAAACATAGGTTGGTTGTAAAGCAACATATTAACAAGAATACAATCAAATTGTTTTGTTTCATGTCAAATAAAGTCATTGTCATTATCCATAATCTCTTCTCTTTGTGTTTGGATTAGTATGTTTGGAGTAGTCCATTAATTAACTAAGGTAACAGTGTAGAGAACCTCAGTGCAACCAACCATAACCTTTGTTGTTTTAACGCGTTTAACTTTTGGGACGTCTAACTTTTGGGAGGTCACCACAGCATGTATCTATTTTTCTTTTTTAATTCTCTTTGTTACCATAATCATAAATTCAAAATGGCTTGAGCCATCAGTAATACGTGTATGAACAATTCTGTAAAAATCACTGGTAAAGACAAAGGATATATTATCACCATTGTGGCTACCCTGGGAACATGCAACATGTACAACATTGGTACATTTCCTGGAGAGATGTGACCAGTTTCTTGAATCATCTTGCAAAAATACCACTAAGACGTGTTTGATGTTAATGACCATCAAAGACTTTTTCAAGTTATAAATTATATATGTTATGATAAACGCCTGATTGTACATTAGACGTCCACATGCTACTATGGAATTAGTTGTATGGAAACTGTAACATATTCAACACCCGGGTCATAATGGCAGCTGATATGTGGTAAAAAACAAACGTGAGTTTTGTGCCAATGTGGTCATGAAATAGATATGAAACTGTTCGCTTATGTGATTATATATGTATGTTATGCCATCTATGAATGTTAATAAATGATAACAAGTATGTATTGTTAGTATTTTTTATTTCTGTGAATAGTTTTACATACGATGAATATAATTATATCTACCATTTCTGATATGCATGCAACAGTATGACGATCATGACATTTAGTAACCATTGATATTTTCACACAAATACATTAATCCGATATTTCCATTAATCCGACATTTTCGTTAATCCGACATATTTCTCTGCAACCACAAGTGTCGGATTAACGAGAGTTGACTGTACCTGACATGGTAGCATCAGAGCATCCCCCAAGCAACTGATTATTGTTATATACTACCCATCAAAAGTTTAGACTCACTAGTGTAAATGTAGCCACTTACTTGTCCTCTGTTCTAAACTAGCTTTTTGCAAAATATTCCATACTGTTTAAAGGTACTGTTTAGTTATGAACTGGTGTATTGTAAAACATATTCGTAACATTGAAAAGATTATTGTCATGAGTTCAGTAAATGATTAAAATCTGTGAAAATTGGCGAATTCTTAACAAAACTTTACACCAAAACGAATCTGTTCACATGCACGACATTTGCTCATGCCTTTCGCAATTTGAAGCATCATCCTTGTGCAATTCATCTGCATAAGGTTTTCAGTTGGTTCCCCCAAGTTGGTGGAGAAATTCATCTTCGATGTAACCACATACATATACATAACATATAGTGAGTGCTTTAAGTGAGTCTAAACTTTTGATGGGTAGTATATTAACCAACCCGTTCATGACAATCAGAACCAAAACTGACTGACAGCATCTGCAATATCCACACCATTATTACATGTATAAAATAGCCCCGATTCTCTTAAGTTATGTGTTACAAACCTGGTATACTGTAGAGGTACACACATCTAATTGAATTGTTATGATAAAGATATTGTAATTGTGAGATACACATTTTATCCAATTGGTATGATTTGTTTTCAAGATTGTTTTATTATTTCAGGTGTGCAATGAAGTTTCCTGATAATATACTAATTTTTTAGGCCTTTCATAGGGATTGCTCTAACATTTCAGATCTTCAGTGGTTCATATTTTTACTTAATAACATTTTCATATCATGTTTCTCAGTTTCATGTGTGTGATAGGTAATAGTGTTGGTTGTTGTACCAGATGTTGTGTTGCAATCTGAGATCATTGTCAATACTCAATAGGCAGAATATGCACTGTATTCCTCAAACAAGACAAAGGTGTACAAACCGTGTCAGGTGTTGACCATCTAGCATGTTTGCCTATAGTCCGTTTGTCTCAAAAGCGGACTGATGAATTGCAATCTAACTCGAAAACAACTAAACATAGAATACTCAATGAAACACTAATCATAATCATAACATCAGACCAACTGTGATTTTTTGCAGAATTTTTACTTAATAAAATAATAATTGTTTAGCAAACTATCATTAAAATTTTGACACAGTTCACTATTAGTGGTTTTGATGAATGTTTACTAGCCAGCATCAATTTCTACATCATTGTCTACATGCTGAACATCATTGTCTACATGCTGAACTTTGCTTTTAGTTATTTACAGGATCCTTCAACACGTTCATACTTCAACCAATGTTAAACTATTCATTCTAATTCAACTTAGTATGTAACACGAGTTCTGATTGGTCAATGCTATAAATTTCCGACCGTATAATCAGCATATACGGTCGCAATTTGAAAACTGATTCACCGAAACCTTTGAATGTATCCCTACACTATTGGGGTAACGCTGTTTCGCAGGACATTGTCATTTGCAGAAGCCATTGGTCCCTTATCCAACAAAAAAGAGTGGAATTTGTGTTAAAGGTCACATAAACCCTAGGGGGTACAAATACATAAATCACTAACTGGCATCGTTATAAATGAAACCCCGTCATTAAAACTACTCATTTCGACCTTTAATTGACTTAAATCGACCTTTTTGACAACAGTGCACAATTCTCACCCGTGAACGAAATTTCAACCAATCAGAGCGGCGCGCCTCTGTGACGTCATATGAGGAATAGCTTTGAGGGCCGATGCAGAATTCATCTACATTTTAGGGGGTAAATTATCGTGTTTACAGGCTTGTATAAACCTGAAATCGTGACAATTGTTGTGGAAAATGAAAGCTATATGTTCTCACAATCTACTGTCATTTAATTTTGTCTCCTGCTTTGCCTAGTTTCCGAGTTACAACTTGTTTTCATAGACGATTCTGTCAAAATCGATTGGTGTCGTTAGGCCCTATTTGTATAATGACTGATCCAAATTGACCCCATTTCTGTGTTGTTTTACCTCGATATTTAATCATGTCATGTCAAAATCTGTTTGTATTCTCAAAACAGTGTCGGACCATAAGTTTTCACATGCAATACAGCAATTAATACTCCCTCGTTGTAACCCGTGTTAGGTGGTATAAACCTACACATGTTATTTGTCATCATTCACTTGATGGTCAGTTAATGAATTTATAACAGGTATAATTAGTGGTAACACACTTAGATTACCCGACAAAGGTTCCCATTTCGCATTTCTTGTGTCTGGAGTAAATATTCAACATTATAAACATCGATCAAAGGATTAACCGATAACACGCTGATTGAATAATTACTTTTATCTTACACAGCGGAATTGTCAAAAGGTAGTGTTTATGTATGTAGATTTACTAATCTATACTGAATACACTCTGTCGTGTCGGTGTCTGCGTAAAAACAACGTCCTTCTTTCAAAGGATTAACCGGCAATACATTGATTGATTGCCCATTATTGGCTAACTAAATTACTGTTTTTAAAGAAAGGTGGACATTATGCAATTAGTTGCCAGGTGTGCTATCTTGGGTGACCAATGAGACTATACACCAATACGTGAAAAGATTTATCACTTTTTCGTATATTAAACTGTTAAAAGACACATAATTTGGAACAGTTTTGTGGATATTGATGGATACATTCCTCGAACAAGGTAATGGCCTGATATTGTTCCTATAACTTTAATCTGTTTTAATTTTAATATTTGCATTTTGTTTTTATTCATTTGTCGTAGCATTCAACAGAATCATTGTTTTCGCCGTGAAGTGTAATGAGACAGACAACATGCACTAGGGTGTGTGTGCGAATTATGATTCACATTGGCAAACTATAAAATGTCTAGATATTACAGTTCTGTTATAAATTCACTATAAGTATCAGCAGATCGTCTGCTTTTATTTAGTTTCAAAATGCATACAAGTGTGATAATAAACTAATTAGGATTGTAAGACCAAATATAAAGAGGCGCACATTGACTAGTATCTACATACTGGTGAGTGGACATTAACCATGGGAATGTAGCAAGAAATTTATCGCAAGCAGTATTGTGACTTCGACCCCACCTCGCTTCCGTGGAAGAAATCGTTATGTTATAAGTTGTGTCATGCAAAATCCGTTTGGTTATGATTCCAATAAATTTTAACAACGAGTAGAAAGTAGTCTTGATTTTCTAACTTGATGAAAACAAACTATAATCTCATTAATTCTAACAGATTTTTTTATTTTTAAAATGGCGGCTACTCTGTCGGGAACATCCGCCAGTCTGAGGATAAATGGTATTTAGGTTTGTTTTCACCGAGTTACAAAAATCAAAACTACTTTCTACTGGTAGTAAAATATGTATTTTATTGATGGCCAATAGGATTTTGCATGACATAGCGTATATCATAACAATTCTCTCGTGGCAGCAGGTGGGTGTCAATATAATACTACTTACAATATTATTGTTACTTCGACCACAACCTCACTTCCGAGGAAGAAATCGTTATGTTACAAGTTGTGTCATAGAAAATCTTTATGGTCATCAATCATATGCATATTTTACTACAACTAGTAAGTAGTTTTGATTCTTTAACTTCCGTGAAGCGATCTGAACACAAGTAAGATATCGTTTCAGGCTTCCACAACGCTAAGCCGCGACTAACAAACATAACCCATTTAGCACCTACTGCGCGGGTCCTGTGGAAATCTGTGCATGGGGACACCATCACCCGACCCCTAGGAGCAATTGGCGACAAAGCAACGATTCGGCATGTCGTCGTTGATGTCGAGAAATCATCAAAATGATGAGCGTGCTACACATTTTCTATACAACTAACTGAAAATCGTTCCTCATATGACGTCACTGCAGTGCTCTGGCGACAGAGTTACGTAACCTGTCTGTGGTTTCGTTGGCGGGCGAGAGGGAAGCAGGCGACTTTTTGGCCACTTTTAATCGCTTGGTATTAATTAACCACAAGTTTTTTAAAGAATAAATTTGGTGTTCCGCATAAGACTAACCACAAATCTTTCATATGTAATGGTTAAAAGAGTAACAAAAAACAAAGTTTAGTGGTTCTTTAAAATGGACAAAACAGTATCATAAATTTAATTTTAAGTTCAAACAACTTACTCGCAACGGGCTGTTGACTCAACACTGTTAGATCATGAAACAAGGTTTATGACGTCACTATGGAGCGTGACGTCACCTGCTATGACCTCATTTGACAACAGAACTGATAATGGCCCGTAGTTGAGGAATCAGCGGGCCGCTCATTTCTGTAACTAGAGGGCGTTTTCATCATAATACCGTCCATTTTATCCATAATACTACGATCTATTCATCATTGTCAAATTTAGTCTGTGTGCACATAATAAACGTGTGTAGTTTGAAAAGGGGAACTACTTTCTCTGGCGATGGTGTAAGTTGAAGGAGTGATATGATTAACCTTTGACCTAGAGGAACTTTGACCTGGTTTAAGTAATGAATTTCTTTCACGAAAAAACAGCGTAAAACGAGTTGAATTAGAATGGGGATAACTGTACTGTGTTTGTCGCAAATTTAACGTTATATCGGCTCCGCTTACGCATCGCCGATATAACTAAATTTGCGGCTATATAACCACCGGTATACGCCCCCAATTCGTCAAACACAGTACAGTTATCCCCTAAGTGTATTCAATTCACTCATCTGTGTAGCATTTTCCTACAACTGTTGATGTTTACAGTGATATATGTTAAAAGATTAAGCCAGTTCTGAACAATTATAGTTTTCCCTCAGTAGTAAAAAACTTATTAGATTTATGAAAAGTGTTTGATGTTTTTGTGAATATGTGTTTGATTATGTTGAAAGTGTTTTTATTGATTTATTTGGTGAATTGGTCACTTGTAGTACCTAGTGTCTGCCATGTTTCAGGTGATTCAGAAGATAGACCAGCTCAACAATGGCAGAAACAAGGAAGGGAATGATCCAGACAGGTAAGCTGTTGTATAATCTGCTACAGTGGTTGCAGTTGGTTACAGGAGACAAAAACAGGTCAGAAAACACTCAAAACTACTTTCATAATTTGGGGAAGATCAACCATGTGGTGAAGTGAAAAAATGAGAAACATGATGCGTATGAATGTATGAGTCTGTATGAGTCTGTATGAGAAGTCTGGATGTGCAGGGAATTAAAGCAATATTTCATCTATGTGATGGCATTTATATTACTTAGTGTGATCACCAGGAATATTGGAATATTGTCTAATAGTCAAGTAACATTATCTGACTATTTTCATAAATGGCTGCTGTGATGAAGCTGAATTTGTTTGTATCCTTCAGAAAAATATTTTAGTGTGACTGAATATAATATTCAAGATATTTTGTTTCATATTCTGATTGTATCTTTGGGAACTCATCTGCGTAATCAGCTGTATTCTGTATAGTGTTTTCCTACAACTGTTATTGTTTACACTGACCTAACAGTACTCCATGAGTGTTTTCCTACAACTGTTATTGTTTACACTGACCTAACAGTCCTCTGTGTAGTGTTTTCCTACAACTGTTATTGTTTACACTGACCTAACAGTACTCCATGAGTGTTTTCCTACAACTGTTATGGTTTATATTGACCTGGCGTTCTCCTACATTGTTGTTGTTTACAGTGACAGGGCTGCTTCAGCCTGACAAGCTTGGTGTGACTCTGACCCATGAACACCTGTGGATAGATTCAGGGGGCTTCTATGTGGAACCAGACGCTAAAAACAAAGCGAAAACGACCATGTCTTTCTCACTCCCCAACTACGGGTGGATAACACATAATCCGTAAATATTGTGCCAATGTTCTTCTTTTCATTTCACATTTAGGCCAGACCAATTTTATTTCTTGTTTTACGGATTTTTGTCCTCAGAAAACCTAAAGGCAGGAGGGAAAAAAATTAAAAATAAAAATCACCAGTCAAAGTACTATTCCTTTTAAATACTAAAAAGTATTCTATTTTGGCAATTTATGAAGTGTATATAGGGCAAAAAAAACAATCCCAAAACTTTTTGGGTAAGTTTACATTTTTGGCCAATATAAATATGAGGATTTTATTTTTTGAGTGAGGAAAAATAATTTTAATTTTTTTTCTTAATCTTGAAAAAATACGACTGGCGGATCCGTAAAACAAGGAATAAAATTGGTCTGGCCTTAGTTACATTTCACATTTTATTATAAGAGTGTATAAAAGTCCTTCTGTGTATAGTATTGTAGTATACATGTATGTTTTAAGTAATAATTTGTGAATATTTTGAGTTTGTTTGAGTTACTTATGTCGGGTGTGATGCGTAACAGAAAATACATTGACAGAAAATGTAAACTGAAAATATCAGGTACATGTATGTTTACTTGCCCAGATTGCACCAGTAGTTGTGCAACTATACTCAATAGTCTTACTTGGGGGGAAAAATTCTACAATAAACATTGCTTGAATAATAGGAGTATTTCTTTTCAGAAATTGGCAGTTTCAGTTTGATTAGTGTGGCCAAATAAAAAAAAGTTGTGGTTCCAATTACACCTCTTTAAAATTTAGGGTAGGTAGGTAGTATTTCTTTTTTGATTTTTTTTTTTGAAGTTAAGTACAAGTTAAAAACACATTTATCAATGTGTAATTGTTTATTCAGTCAAGCTTGCTGCCATCATGTTGACTTTCTCTATCAGAATGACTGATGTCCGTCGGTGCAGGGCAAAAACAATTGTATCTGAACGTTTGTTTTATTCATACTGTTTAAAAAATAGGGTCGGCACCAGAATTCAAGGGTCGGTCGGGTAATCGGAACCACAACACATTTTTATAGGCCTCAACATCTCCTTTGCTAGTTGAATTCTAGGGTTAGAATGCATTTTACCTGATGCCTCTTTTAAGAAACTTGCAAAGCTCCTCCTTTGTAATGGTTCCTAAGTTTTTGAGCTACATCGCTAAAATAAGGTCATTATTAATGACAAAAAATCTGTATGTGTTGTTACGTGTCCTGATTGAGGACATTGATGAGGCTACCAGATGCCAATATGGAAATTTAAGTTTTGATGCTTACTGTGTATGTCAAACCTTTCCTATTGTAGAATTGATTATGTATTTTGAGGTTTAGTTATACTAACATGGTTAAGACATACAAATGGAAGTTATCTTTGTATGTTATTGCCCTGTTTTCCAAATAGTCACACTATTGCATACAGTTATTGCGATAACATCAACAAACAGTTGTTAGGTAAGGTGCATTTGTACCCAATTTAGTAGTAAATGATGACTAATTATGCAGAATCATTGTCTCATTTTCAATTACTAAATACTTTCACTAATTAAGTAAGTTTTCATTTGGGTAATAATGACGTCAAATCCTCCATTTCAAGTTGTATTATACGTTGCATGGGAGAAGTGTTAACATAAGCAGTAATGCTTGTTCACCAATCCCAATTCATCTTCATGAATAAACATATGTTTAAATCATTGGGGTAATAATGACAATGTCTAGATTGAGAATTTTAGATTCTAGACTGTTCAGCATTGACCCTCTTAAAGGGAGACTCCACTCACACCATTTGGCAGCCCCTCATCCCAGTCAGCTTGATTTCATGTCATCAAAACTCTCTCTGTCAAATCCTTTGGTGCATATAAATCTACCATTTGCTGAATATGTCCTTCTACATTGAGATAATGCCAGAGTTTCCCACAAGTAATAACAACAAATAACAATGTCCCTTCCGTCTGGAAAAGGATTGCAGACTGTGGAGCCAAGTGTCCCTTTAAATGAACTTGTTCTATGTCAGATACAGTCACAAGCCCAACCTCAACTATGGCCCTGATGAGAAAGGTGATCTCGCTGAGGAGATGATGTTCTTCAAGGTAGGAGGTGCCTCACATTCCTTTGATGTTATTCTGGCTTTCATCTGCATCAACAACAGTATGTGTGACTATCGATAGTTTAGTAAATGACTTTTTTAATTGTTGGGGTGCAGACTTGCAGCTTCATTGAGTTAATGTTTTATCTGTTTACTTGATCTGGGTTTCAAGTTTCTTGTCAGTTATTAAAGAGGCTGAAACTACTTCAACATGTTTCATATAAACTATACATTCATTTGGGAAATGACTTCAAATCAGACAATTCAAGGAGGACAAAAACTATTGCAGATATGTTGCAATAGACTATCGCTATCACAATAGTTGTTTCAGCCTCTATAGTCACCCCTAGTCGTAGGTATCGGGTATTGTTCTTCACGTCATGTCGATGTGTGAAGCCCATTCTGGTGTCCCCCTGCGCGATTGATATTGCTGGAATAAAAGGCTTCATGTACAGTTCCATCCATCCACCATAGCTCATGAACTGTTTGATATTTCATCTTGTTTTTCAGGAAATATAGTTTATTTTTGTGTTTCCATTGCAATACGTTGGACTTTTTACATTCAAATGAGTGTAGGTTATGTTGGCAATGCTCAATGCTGGGCACCCCTAAGGGGGTCATCTAAGGCACCACAGTTTGCTATTACAGCACTTAACAATGCCAGAAACGTGTGATAGTGGATTTGACTCCTGTTCCCTCTGATTGTGCTGCTGGATCTGTTGCCCTGTACCCATGGGCTACCTGCTCCGCTTCAGCCTTTCCTCTCACGTTTAGCAGACGCTGACAGCGAAATTATGGGACAACTGGAATAATGTTCAAAGCAGCTTGAAAACCAGTTGATTTACTTAATTGTTAGAAACACTGGCCATTTAGACATGTAGCTGCCTGAGAGTCCTGTGTTGGGATTCAAACCATGGATTTTATGATTCATTGTCAGACACCTTGTCCTCATGACCAACATGGCTGTAAGCTGACTTAGAAGGAGTGTAGCTGTGTAATAACTCTAATCACTGCTGAAGACACAATGATGATGGGTTGCTCTGAACACTAACTCCAAGGTGTATTTTTTAACTTGCCATTCCAGAACAATGGTGGCAGCAGTATAGTGGAAAACACAACTATAGGCCTACATCCAAATATAGAATTCCTGAAGGAGTTGTCAGAGAGAACAGGGATCAACATTGTTGCTGGAGCAGGTATTGACATCAAATGGACTTTTTTAATGTATTTTCAAAGCATTTACTTTATGATACAGCATTGGTCTGATTGAAAGATGGTAAAAAATGTGTGACCTCAAGAGAGTGGAGTGTTCCAATGTGTAGGGTGTTGCAGTATGTAGGGTGTTGCAATATGTCAGGTGTTGCAGTATGTAGGGTGTTGCAATACGTCAGGTGTTGCAGTGTGTAGGGTGTTGCAATATGTCAGGTGTTGCGGTGTGTAGGGTGTTGCAGTACATCAGGTGTTGCAGTGTGTAGGGTGTTGCAATGTCAGGTGTTGCAGTGTGTAGTGTGTTACTGTGTGTGGCAGTGTGTAGGGAGATGCTGTGTGTGGCAGTGTGTAAGGTGATTATGTGTGTGTGACAGTGTGTATGGAGATGCTGTGTGTAGGATGATCCTGTGTGTGGCAGTGTGTAGGGTTATGCAGTGTGTAGGGTTATGTTGTGTGTAGGGTGTTGCAGTGTGTAGTGTGATGCTGTGTGTAGGGTGTTGCAGTTTGTAGGGAGATGATGTGTGTAGGGTGTTGCAGTGTGTAGTGTGATGCTGTGTGTAGGGTGTTGTAGGGTGATGCTGTGTGTAGGGTGTTGCAGTGTGTAGTGTGATGCTGTGTGTAGGGTGTTGCAGTGTGTAAGGAGATGATGTGTAGGGATATGCTGTGTGTAGGGTGTTGCAGTGTGTAGTGTGATGCTGTGTGTAGGGTGTTGCAGTGTGTAGTGTGATGCATTGTGTAGGGTGTTGCAGTGTGTAGTGTGATGCAGTACATAGTGTGATGCTGTGTGTAGGGTGTTGCAGTGTGTAGTGTGTTGCTGTGTGTAGGCTGTTGCAGTTGATGCAGTGTGTAGTGTGATGCTGTGTGTAGTGTGTTGCAGTGTGTAGTGTGATGCTCTGTGTAGGGTGTTGCAGTGTGTAGTGTGATGCTGTGTGTAGGCTGTTGTAGGGTGATGCTGTGTGTAGGGAGGTGCTGTGTGTAGTCTGTTGCTGTGTGTAGTGTGTTGCAGTGTGTAGTGTGTAGGCTGTTGCAGTGTGTAGTGTGATGCAGTGTGTAGGGTGATACTGTGTGTAGTGTGATGCAGTGTGTAGGGTGTTGCAGAGTGTAGTGTGATGCTGTGTGTAGGGTGTTGCAGTGTGTAGGGGATGCTGTGTGTAGGGTGTTGCAGTGTGTAGTGTGATGCTGTGTGTAGGGTGTTGTAGGGTGATGCTGTGTGTAGGGAGATGCTGTGTGTAGTCTGTTGCAGTGTGTAGGGAGATGCTGTGTGTAGGGTGTTGCAATATGTAAGGTGTTGCAGTGGGATGCTTTGTGTAGGGTGTTTGTTACGCAGTGTTCTATAAATTCAACTCTCAACACTGTGACTAATCTATTTCAACTTTAATTCTGTTTTGTTTTGCACAAATGTATACAGTTGGTACACTGTTCACTGACTATAACGAAAAACTATCGAGAGGCGTTACAGAATGCAGCCTATCAACTGGCGAGTTACAATGCAAAAATATAATGATAGGCCATCTAATATACGACCGCTCGCCAGTCAAGTTCTAACACTGTGTTTTAGGACAGGTCGTTGAAAGCACGACCGCTAAAGTCCGAAGTTCTAACAAATCTGTTCAAAACTGCTATCGGAGAAACCTCATGCAGGTTCAACTCCATGTGTTTCACGTAGTGAAATTTTCCGAGAAGTACATTGCTTTTGCGCGAATGTTCGTATTTCAGAAACATAAACGCACGCGAATATTCTATGTTTACAAACACAGTTCTCCAGAACAGTGTTGTAATATGTAAGGTGTTGCAGTGTGTAGGGTGTTGTAATATGGTCTTTGTTTTTGTTTTTTTAAAGTGTTTTATATTCACTTTATTTGGTTGAACAAGATACATGGGTAGAATATAGGGTTACAAACAAAGCAGACAGTATGATGTATATCGTATTGGGAATATTTTTTTTATTGATAAATCTCATAAAGGTCCTTTAATAATGTTTTGTAACTTGTGAAGCTAAGTTTTTGTCCTTTTATATCATGTGTTGGTTTTTGCTGTTTTCAACTGTAGGTTATCTGTAACAGACCGACAGTTTAATGACCTACATGCAATGAATTTTTAAGCTCATACAAAACTAATACATCCTGTTTCTTGATTTAGGTTACTATGTGGCCACATTTCAGACGGAATCAACCAAAGCCTTGACCTGCGAGGCGATGGCAGACTGCATACGTCATGACATCCTAGAGGGTGTGGGGAAGACAGGAATCAAATGTGGCGTCATCGGGGAAGTGGGTTGTGCTTGGCCATTGGAGGGTAAGTCGTTGAGTACCAGGGCCCTGTTTCACAAAGCTCTTGTAAGCCTAAGTCCTCGTAACTGTTCTCGTAGCATTCGTAACTCCTATACTGTAAGATTGACTTACGATAGTCGTAACGCTACGAGAGCTTTCTGAAACGGGCCCTTGAACCCCATTATTGAACAGACTGGTTCCCTGCATGCCATGCTTGTGTTAAGAGTTGCCTGAGATGTTGATTCGGTGGACACAATGAGTGACCCGTTTCACTATGTGACATCTTACCCGAAGGCTATGGATCAGAGCTCCTGAGAACAACAATTGCATTGCATGGACGGATTTGCTTATATAATAATCTGCTTCAATGTTTTTTGCATATTTGCAATCATTATTGAAACTGCCTACACTGTCTTTTTACTAATCTGTCATACAGACCCTGAAACGAATATATCAAAGAAAGCACATGCAAGTCTAGAATATGTGGCGAGTCTAGGTTTCCACAGTTCCGGGGTTTTATTCTGTAAAATATGTTTATTTCAGAGACTACAGGGATAAGTTGAGAACCGACCTGACAATTGACCCGTGTTAGCATGTATGAGTGCCACCCACTGGCGCTTGTCATTGTTAGCGAAGGGGCCCCAGGTTGTCCGCGATCAAGTGTAGTGCGACTTGCTACACCGACGTGAGAGTCTTATGAGCAAGGCATGTGCAGCTATGCGAGAAATCAATTTCATAATGCCATGCACGTGCACTAGCCTACATCTGCTCTACCTTTCACAAACCAATTGGGTTTGCTCATTGCCGTGCACCACCTACTTCCCGTAAACACATTCTCTGCGCCTTTCCAACTTATCCTTGTTTGCCAGTAGTTGTTAGTCTATATTTTTACGTGAATACCTCCATGAACACATAAGTGTACTGAAGTCAGTTCTTAAGAATACTTACGTCTTACAGACTGCTTATTCAATAAAAAACATAACTTCAAGGAAAAGATATACAATATATCATATCTTCCAGCGCAGTTAAGTCATACATGCCTTGCATACTCGCAGGGTGGTGGTTAAAGCGTCTGCTCGTCACGCTGAAGACCCTGGTTCGATGCCCCACATGGGTACAATGTTTGAAGCCTATTTCTGGTGTTCCCCACCATGATATATTAGCTGGAATATTGCTAAAAGTAGCGTAAAACCAAACTCGCTCACTCACTTGCATACTTGCAGTGGTCAAATTGTTTTGGCATATGGAAGCATTAACAAAGATGATATTGCTTGGTTACCAATCAAATAACCCGCTCACAATGTATTTATTCTGTGATGTGGATGGAATATTAATAACTTTTGTGTTGAACAACTCACTTCACGTCTCTGTCTTGACTGGACACCTACAAATGAAAAACTGTCAAGCAAATGTGAGTGAATGAATGAGAGTACATTTTGTAGCAAAAAGTATAATGTCTATTTAATAGCAATCAAACCAGTGGTCAATGGCAAGAGTACTTATCCATGCTGTAGTGGTTCACTAACATCATCCATCAAGTCATCATCCCATTGTAATCTTCTCTTACCACGTGCAACAGCTAGTAACAAGCTTATCACACAGAATATAACAAAATGTAACAAATCTGAACCATTGACTCCTCTGGAAGATCGGCTTATGTTGATATTATGTTTTTATAGGTCATGGGACACAGGTTATCTGCAATTTGATTGGCTGAAGTGTAAGTTACAAACAATGTGGTGAGGTGAGGTGAAATTGGGTTTAACGTCGCGCTGGAGAATATTTCGCTCATATGACGACGTGCATGCGTGTGTATGTGTAGGTGCAGCTGCTTGTACTAGCCCAGACTGAAGCTGGTTTTATAGTGCTAGCCCACTGAGATACCATGCCGCAGTGAAGCATGAATACCCCACTCAGACACATTATACTGACTCCGAGCCGACCAGTCCTTGTTGTACCCATTAATGCCGAGTGCCAGGCAGGGACCAACAAGTACCATATTTTAACGTCTTTTTGGTATGACGCGGTCGGGGATCGAACCCGCAACCTTCCGCACTCCGGGCGGACGCTCTAACCACTACACCACGGAGGAGGTCCTACAAACAATGAAGGTAGCAGTGACTCATAGACATAAAAACAATGTGTCAGTTTCTTGTATGATATTTTGTGTTGTATGTGATATACAACCCCACGTGTGTTACAGAGTTTGAGAGACGGTCAATACAAGCCAGTGCTGTTGTCCAATCAGAACTCGACACTCCAGTCATCGTCCATCCTGGCCGTAATCCAGATGCACCTTTTGAGATTCTGAGAATATTCCAGGAAGCTGGTGGAAAACTCCACAATGTAGTGATGTCACATCTAGACAGTGAGTATATATTTATATCCTGTGTAGAGGAGGTGAATATATAAAAATCCAGTCAAGACAATATTATAATTTGTTCCAATCCAGACTAGACAGTGAATAGATAATTATATCCTTTGTAGAGGAGGTGAATACACATTTTATATCCAGTCAAGACAGTATATATGTTTATATCCAGTCAAGACAGTATATGTGTTTATAACCTGTGTTATATCCAGTCAAGACAATATGTATGTTTATATCCAGTCAAGACGGTATATATGTTTATATCCAGTCAAGACAGTATATATATAGGTTATCACGAGTGTGTTTTGGGATGGTTAATATCCTGCATTAGGAATAATCATTGTATTTAGCACACTATTACATAGTGTTTATTCCTAATGCAGGATATTAACCATCCCAAAACACACGAGTGTCATAACCTATTTATCATACAATGTCATTTTTGCTTTATAATTTAAAAAAATGCGATTTCAAATGCCACAAATCATGAAACTAAACTTCGTGGAATGTCTATGACGTCACAAATATGTGCGGAGTAATACGTTACGTCACAAGCCCGGTGACATAATTTTCTCCTGATCACTCAGCGGTCATCTAGTTCCCAGTAAGCTTTTATGCTAAAGCACGTATTGTTGTCAACAAATCTTAGCTTACGTTTGAAAAATAACAACAAACTCACGTGGAACTTCAGAAACCTTCAATTAACCTTTTGAACAACCAAATACGCTTTAATGTTAGCGTGACACTGTACACCGTTCTCTCGCTAACACTGACAGTCGGTCGGGGAACTGATGTTGGTATCTTCGTAAGCCTATGAATTTCTATCTTCGCTCTGTAATCTACTCCATCTATCAAAACCAGGCATGAATTTTCTGGGATCAAAGCACTGGCAGTACCGTAACCACGGCCGTTAATCCGGGACACGACCGCCGACCCTTGACGCCATGTTTGTTTACACTGTGAAAGTAGTCCCTGAAATTTGCATATGACCTCTCTAACTTGCATCAATATCCGTATATGACCCCAACGGCTACCGAAAACATCCGTTGGCTTTATCCTTCCGAGAACACTATCCATTGTATGATAAATGTTTATATCCAGTCAAGACAGTATGTACGTTTATATCCAGTCAAGGCAGTGTATATGTTTATATTCTTTTAAGACAGTATATATATTTATATCCAGTCAAGACAATATATATGTTTATATCCAGTCAAGACAGTATATATGTTTATATCCAGTCAAGGCAGTATATATGTTTATATCCAGTCAAGACAGTATATATGTTTATATCCAGTCAAGACAGTATATATGTTTATATCCAGTCAAGACAGTATATATATTTATATCCAGTCAAGACAATATATATGTTTATATCCAGTCAAGACAGTATATATGTTTATATCCAGTCAAGACAGTATATATGTTTATTACCAGTCAAGACAGTATATATGTTTATATCCAGTCAAGGCAGTATGTATGTTTATATCCAGTCAAGACAGTATATATGTTTATATCCAGTCAAGACAGTATATATGTTTATTACCAGTCAAGACAGTATATATGTTTATATCCAGTCAAGACAGTATATATGTTTATATCCAGTCAAGACAGTATATATGTTTATATCCAGTCAAGACAGTATGTATGTTTATATCCAGTCAAGACAGTATATATGTTTATATCCAGTCAAGGCAGTATATATGTTTATATCCAGTCAAGACAGTATATATGTTTATATCCAGTCAAGACAGTATATATGTTTATATCCAGTCAAGACAGTATATATATTTATATCCAGTCAAGACAATATATATGTTTATATCCAGTCAAGACAGTATATATGTTTATATCCAGTCAAGACAGTATATATGTTTATTACCAGTCAAGACAGTATATATGTTTATATCCAGTCAAGGCAGTATGTATGTTTATATCCAGTCAAGACAGTATATATGTTTATATCCAGTCAAGACAGTATATATGTTTATTACCAGTCAAGACAGTATATATGTTTATATCCAGTCAAGACAGTATATATGTTTATATCCAGTCAAGACAGTATATATGTTTATATCCAGTCAAGACAGTATGTATGTTTATATCCAGTCAAGACAGTATATATGTTTATATCCAGTCAAGACAGTATATATGTTTATATCCAGTCAAGACAGTATATATGTTTATATCCAGTCAAGACAGTATATATGTTTATATCCAGTCAAGACAGTATGTATGTTTATATCCAGTCAAGACAGTATGTATGTTTATATCCAGTCAAGACAGTATGTATGTTTATATCCAGTCAAGACAGTATATATGTGTATATCCAGTCAAGACAGTATATATGTTTATATCCAGTCAAGACAGTATATATGTTTATATCCAGTCAAGACAGTGTATATGTTTATATCCAGTCAAGACAGTATGTATGTTTATATCCAGTCAAGACAGTATGTATGTTTATATCCAGTCAAGACAGTATATATGTTTATATCCAGTCAAGGCAGTGTATTCTTCTTACTACCAATCACCATGCACCAACCATTCTTGTACTGCAGTAACATGTATGGACATTCTTGAGTTTGCTGGTTTACCCTTACTTTCCATATAACACCTGCCACTCTTGAATAGGCAGGACATTTTTAGTAAAAGAATGCATACTGGAATTGAAGGAAAAGCAAGTTCTATGGATAGTCAACTTGTTTATTGCAATGAATGCGGCATTTCAGTGTAGATACTAACACCGTTATCAAGTATCTACACCGAAATGTTGCTAACATTGCAATAAAGAAGTTGACTATCCATAGAACTTGGTTCTCCATCTTTACGACTTCTAAAATGACTCTCAAAGAAACCTACTGGGATTGGCTGTAAAACACATACTTTCCCGAAAACATCAACTTTTCTTTGATTGCAGGAACATTTCTGGACAAGGAACGCCTTCTTGAGTTTGCTGCTGAAGGTGTGTACTGCGAGTATGACCTGTTCGGTATTGAGACGTCCCACTACCAGCCCTATCCCCCCCTCGATATGCCCAGTGATGCTCAGAGAATCCAGATGATCAAGACTTTAGTGGAGAATGGCTATGAGGACAGAATCTGTATTGCCCAGGACATACACACCAAACACAGGCTGGTAGGTATTCCTCAAGGTGTAGTAGGGTTGCTCAGTGGTACAAATAGTGGCACCCTGAGTTTTATTTCCAAAACAACTATTACATGTACAATGGTTATGTTTTAATGTTGTCTTGCTGAAATCAGTATAAAAGGTTATGTAGGCACTACTCAAGAATTAGACAGACAGTGGACTCGTTTAGTCACAGATGGGCTGCCATAGTGACAAAGGTTATGTTCGTTGAAATAATCTTTAAGTACCACATCAGGAGACCGCCTCCGTGGTGTAGTGGTTAGAGCATCCGCCCGAAGAGCGGAAGGTCGCGGGTTCGATCCCCGACCGCGTCATACCAAAAGACGTTAAAATATGGTACTTGTTGGTCCCTGCCTGGCGTTCGGCATTAATGGGTACAACAAGGACTGGTCGGCTCGGAGTCAGTATAATGTGTCTGAGTGGGGTATTCATGCTTCACTGTGGCATGGTATCTCAGTGGGCTAGCACTATAAAACCAGCTTAAGTCTGGGCTAGTACAAGCAGCCGCAACATACTCATACACATGCATGCACGTCGTCATATGAGCGAAATATTCTCAAGCACGACGTTAAACCCAATTTCACCTCACCTCACCACATCAGGAAAGCAGGTTACACATCAAAATATTGATAGGTTTATATGTGAGTCTTTAGCTTCAAACCCTTACATAAAGGCTGTGGTTAGTTAGTGTTATATACTTCTGCACTCAGCAATAGTTCACATATAACAGGGTCAAATATGGACTAGAGGTTGATAGCGAGAGCAACCTGACATGAAGATATTTCTTTTAGAGTCTTTAGTCATTAAATCTGGCTTCACCCTCACATTAGCTTTCACACCTTTTCATGGGCTTTTGTAACCATATCTCAAGTCTCAAAGAAACAGCTTATCGTTGATGGTGCCATACTGAAAAAAACACAGTACTAACGCTGTGGTGTGAAATATTTTACTGTTTACAAGTGAGTTGGAACATGTAAAGCAATTATTCTGTTATTTAGATCTATCCTTGGGTCATATTAGACATGAACTAGTTACAGTAATCATATGGTCAATTAAAAATGTCATAATGATCAGTGTCTCCGCTGACTTCATTATTTATTGGACACTGTGTCAGGCAACTGAATTCTGAGTCTATAATTTAATGCTGCTGGTTTCTTTCCAATCCATATTTTTAGGGACTAATTTTTTATTTCTTTATGGACCTTGAACAGATAAAGATTCAGTACCGTTGCTTTTCCTAATTATTACCAGTCTGTGTTTTATATGCTAATACTTTCAGTTTCTTTTTCAGACCAAATATGGCGGCCATGGATTTTCACATGCACTGGTCAATATCGTTCCCAAAATGCTCAGCAGGGGAATATCTCAAGAAGCTGTGAATAAAATCTTGATAGATAACCCCAAAAGATGGCTTACTTACCTGCGATAGTTAATCAGAAAAACAGGGTATTCCTAAATATATTCTGATTTTTGTATATTTCACCGTGCCTTATCCAAGGTCCTCAGTGAGTTACAGATGGACCATCTTGGGAGTGTTGGAAAACAATTCAGTGTCAATACATTTGAATAATAATAATATTTAAAGCTGGACTTTTGACAGTCATTAGTGTTTGCACCTGTAACACATTTAAGTACTACTAATAATAGTCAAAGTTTAACCTGTGACAACTATTAGTGTTAGGGACTGATAATTTGGTATTTTGGCGGAGGGGTGTTGTGGGATTTTATTGAAAAAAATTAAAATGTCAGAAGAAGATCATTATACTTCTGACTGTTGAAAAAAGGGAAATGGTCTGCCTCAAGGGTTATTTGGTTGCAAAATCATTCTTTTTTAAATTAATGAAAGCTCATAGTTCTATTTTTAAAAATACCTGTTCTAGCAGCTGTAGCGGAAAATATATCTAGTCTCTAAACAAACACCCAAGCATCACCCCTGAATTTCTGATGGTCAGCATGTACACGATATTAATACTTATAAATAATAAAAGTTGACATTGGACATGTGATAGTCATTACTCAAGATTCAAGTACAATGTGACATGAGCCTTTGATGGGCATTTTGAAGTTTGAAGAAACTGAAGACATTAACAATTTAGGGTTAACAACTATTGTGCTAGTAATCACAGTGAGCAAGTTGTTGTCCATGAAGTTTCATGTGTTCATTTAATGACAGAACATACTGCTTTCTTAACAACTTATTGCATGTAGCAACATCTGTGTGTGGACAGTTACAGTGTTATCCAGCTGGAGTGAGTGAGTGAGTTTAGTTTTACACCGCACTCAGCAATATTCCAGCTATATGACGGCGGTCTGTAAATAATTGAGTCTGGACCAGACAATCCAGTGATCAACAACACGAGCATCGATCTACACAATTGGGAACCGATGACGTGTCAACCAAGTCAGCAAGCCTGACCACCCAATCCCGTTAGTCGCCTCTTACGACAAGCATGGGTTACTGAAGATCAATTCTAGCCCGGATCTATGGGTCCCAGCTGGGGTGAGAGGTATATATGCATGGTATACTGTGGTAAGCAGCAGGATAACATTAACAAGACCTGATGGATAACAAGTAGCATTATGATAACTGGCTGAAGCCAGATGTACAGTAAGAATAACAAATAGCATTGCAACAAAATTTGTTATCCATAAAGTTGTATAATTTCCTTATTTACTGACCAACTTCTAGAATGCCAATCAAACTGTTCATGTCATGCCGTACAGCAAGTCATAGGTATTATAATACACAATGATACAATATACTACTCAAAAGAAGTTTAGAACCATCTGACTTTTTCATATGACAAAATAAAGATCTCTCAGTGTCAATTTTAGCAACACGAAGAAGTTCATGTTGTTCCATATGTTTTCATTCAATGGAGAGGACCCATTAGTTATGTTTAGTGTCATCCAGGCGCAACCAGCTTGATATCCACCACAGATGGTGGGCAGATGGGGCAGATAACTCCAAGGCCCTTTTGTCTATTACCCCAGTTCCACATTCATCAGTTAAGTGCATACCTCAGATTTGAGGCATTCCTATACATACCCCAGTTTGAAAGTGGAAGACAGTTATTGGCAGACAAGTGTACTGTCAAAGATGGTCTGAAAGTATAGTGTGTTTCCAGTGGTATTCACTGGTATTACATTATTTATTTTCTTCCTTATTAAAGGCACTATTTCACACCACACTTCTAAAAAAATAAATAATGCATTTCTCTCTATAATACTAACTATCAACCCTCAGGGAAGCTACCATTTAATTTATTACAACAAAAATTACATATTTGGATTACAGTATTAAATTAAAAACTTCGGAATGAATTAATGCAATGTTGCATTAAATCGACTCTCGAGCCCTCTACCAACCGAACATTATTTCAAGCGACCCCATAGAGTTATGTCCCTTGGAGTGCTCTTTACGAATATCCTATAACGCAACTTGTGATTGAAACCAGTTTGGCAAACAGCAACAACATCGCTTATGACAGTATTCGATGTACGGAGGAATTGTTTACATTCCATATGGGGTAAGTGTTCTCTGTTTGGAAGCTGCTCGCCTCAAAGTTTCAATTAACAATTTCAGGCAAGTCGTAAAGGATAATAAGTCTTTTATTGCATCAATAGGAAGCTAAAGTGAGTGCATATGCATATATATATATATTATAGGCCAAAATATTGTCGAAAATGTGTGAAATTGTGCCTTTAATGAAGTGTACCAAGCAGCATTTGTACCATGCTCTTGATAATACTCTATGATGTGCAAAAAGACTTAAGTACTCAGATTGCTCAAGAAACCAAGTCTAACCTGTAGCTATCATACATAGACCTACAGTAAAATACCTTTATAAATGAACTCCAGGGGACCACTGAAATTAGTTTGTTATATCCGTAGTTCCCTATTCACTTTTTTATATGATAATATAAGGTTTATTCGGGACTTTTACAACAGTTCGCTATAGCCGTCAGTTCAGTTATATCCGTGTTCGTTATAAAAGTATTCTACTGTATATGTTGTTATAGATTATAAAATTGTAAAATATATCTGTTTCAGCTGGTTTCCTGCATACCAGCAGTGTTCTCAATCATTGATAGCTAATGTAGCTACATAGAGAACATTGAGAATTTTGTTAAATGAAGTTATTGCAGAGATTTCAGTCAATATTGTTAGAATACTGAATCAGTTAATTACATAACTTGATGATGTGATATTGTGAGATGTTATTGTCTGATCCACATGAAGTCTGTGCAGAATCTGTTTTTAGTGCTAGCTTACAGGGTTCGAATTCATTTTTCTTTCAATGCCCGCACCAGGTGCAACCGAGTGAATTTATAAAAATATTGCTTGTTTTAAACAATCCTATCGCTGTCACTGACTGAAGACGATTCTTTATCAGTATTGCATGCTGCTGGAGGACCCGGAGGACACATCGGGTTTTATCTCTTCATAGGAGGGGCGGTGGGTAGCCCAGTGGTTAAAGTGTCTGCTTTCGCCACGTGGAGGACCTGGAGGACACATCGACCGGGTTTGACCATAGGGAGGACACGTGGAGGACCCGGAGGACACACACCGGGTTTGATCTCTTCATAGGAGGGGCGGTGGGTAGCCCAGTGGTTAAAGTGTCCGCTCGCCACATGGAGGACCCTGGCTCGATTCCCAAAACAATACAATGGGTACAATGTGTGAAGCCCATTTCTGGTGTCCCCTGCCGTGATATTGCTGGAATATTGCCAACAGCGATGCAAAACCACACTTACTCACTCCTTCTCAGGAAAAGCGTTCTCGTTCTTGTTGTGAACTGCTGTGAATGACTACTAGTCAGTGTCTGTAGTAATGTGATTTAAGACATAGTAAATACTTCACAAATTTGCATACCCAATTTTCCTCCATCAACCATGTATACACAGGGTTGATATGTGTTGTGGCAGAGCGGAGCGTACAGTTGTAGTAGGCTATGGACATGAGGCTGTGACTATTTAAGTCAAATGAAATACCAAATATTAACCATAATTATAACGTAAACATTCCCTCTGGATTATGGTAGCCTTATTCCTGTGGATACACAGAATACATACAGAAAATCAAAAGAAATTTTAACACTAAGTCATAGCTATTCCTAGTGGTATACCTAATCTACCCCTGAGTTATCTCCCTTGATCCTGACGTCACTGTATTGTTCTCCTAGAACCCTTCATAATTTTTCTGTATGGTCCACATGCATGACGTGCAGAGAATCGAGTGAAATTTCATTTCAAATCAAGACTTCAATTCTTCATATATAGGTCAGTTACAAATAGCATTCCATTTAATATTCAATCGCATTGCTGTTTTGCATTTATATTAGATATATTTCCAACGTATTTAGGATCTGAAGTTTTCCCGCCCTTTTTGATTGACAAGTATGGCGCAGAGCAAATGTTTGCAATGTCAGAAATTCATGGCGGATGTTGATCCCCACTCTCTGTGTGCTTCCTGTTATAAAGGCTTACCTTGCTCAATCTCGGATCGATGCTTATTGTGTCAGGAAATGTCTGAAGAAGATTGGTTGTTGATGGACAAATCTCGTTCCTTAGTTAGGAAGCGTAAACATTCATCGTCATCAGAATGTTCTAAGTCGAAGAAAGTTCAGGGATCTCCGCCTTTATCTATTAAATCTGAACCGAAGTCTCGTTCTAGATCTAAATCAAAATCCTCTCCCCAGTTGGATATATCTGCGTTCTCAGAACTTTTGGCAGGATTTAAATCCGATGTCCAGGCGGCCATGGATAAATCTGTACGGTATATGGAGATGAGGAATGAAGAAAAATTTAATCACCTGTCAAAACATTTGGAGGATCCTGTTTTATCCGGCAAGACGGCAGATAGCCGCAGTGGCTTGGTGGTCGATGGCAAGAGCCGGGGGCCAAAGTCACTTCCTCCTGAAACCAGGGATGCAATGACCGGGAAAGCCGGTTATCATGCCCTGGCGTATGTAGGAGGCCGGTCCCCTCAGGGGGAGAAGCCTAGGGCTTCAAGCGACAGGGATGGAGTCGGCCCAGCCAGCTCCGGATCCGGGGTGACCGTGGCTCAGGCTACACACTCTGCGTCCTTTGTCCCCGGGAGCCAGTTCTCCGTGGCTACTCCCTGTCGCATACAGCCTGCTACCTTCTCCCACAGCGAGACCGGGCTGCAAGCGTTTCACGGGTCTGACTCGGTCAAGATGGCATGTGATTCCTGCCCCGGCTTTAGCCAGGCCACTGGGTCGGCTGCTATGGATAACGGTGTATCAACCCAGCAGTCTGATTTGCACGGGCCTAGCGGTTCAGAGGACACGGCTACGGACCCGCAAGGTTATTTTGACACAGACAATCCGCCCTTAATCCCGTTAGTGTCTGATGTGACGGACCAGGAGGATTCATCGGTTTATCCTTTTTCACAACCAGAGTTTTCCATGAAAGAAGGCTTGTTGACGGTACAACCTATGGACATGTCAGCACAGGATTTTAAGCCGGGCTGGTCATTTAAAGAAAAGCTGGAACTTTTGCACGGACTTTATCCTAATACTCTACCACCGCCGTCGGACGAGCAGGAGATAGATATTCCCGTGGAACTCGGATTATCAGGTTGCCTTCCCCCGGAACGGATGCCCAGGCTGTCATTACCACATTCATCATCACTTAAGAAAGTGTTGGAGAATTACAACTTAGGCCTCTCCAAGGCTACGAACTTGAGTTCTTTGCCTAGGGTTTCTCATAAACCCATTTATTCCATTCATGATCGTGTTATCCCAGCCAATCAACCAAGTTTAGACAAGGACTTTAAACAGTTACAGGATGCTAGAGGCTCTCGTGACTATGCACCGGTCTGTACTTTCAAGGATTGTAAGGAATTGGATACAGCAGCCCGTTCGGCGATTGACACCATATCTTATTCAAACTGGTTTTCAGCGGGAGTTCACACCTTGCTCCCACCGGTGTTTCAAGATTATACGGGAGTTAAGAGAGACACTTTGATTTCCATGACTGCTCAAGAGGTGGTGTTAGCGCTTTCGTTTCTGGATGTAGTGTATCAGTCCTTAGCCGATGCGATGGTGACTCAAGTGAATATATTGGGCCGACTTACAGCTATTGAGCGGATACAGCGGCTAGATTCAGTGAGGAATTTACCGATTGTTTCAAGGGATTTTCTATTGCACCAGCCCTTGGAATCGGATAACACCTTTAATGGACAATGTCAACAGGCTATTGAGGCTAGAGATGCCTTGACGTCGAGGAACTTGAATCAACGTTTGGCGTCGGCTCTTTTATTCCAAAATAGAGGAAGGGCTGACACTAGATCTAGAAGGGGTTCCAGTGT